GCAAAATTTGTTATGGTTTATAATGGCAAATGATACTTTGAATATTACATGTTGATAACTTGATTGGAATTATAACCCTAAGTTGACAGTTTGATACTTTGTAAATTTTGAGCCATCCCTACCCCCAAGGGCTGTAGGGTGGGGCCCAATGGAGTCTGTGTGCTAAACTAAAATTTCTTCATTTTCCTTGTTTAGAATCAGAGGTGCTAGTTTTAAATACTTTTCAGTCTTAAATCTGCATGCTAGATATTGAATAAGGTGGTTTTTATTGTTTTTTGTCACTTTGAATAATATTTCTGTTCATGTTAAAAACAAAAATCAACTCTCTGTATAAATATATCAGGTGACCATTAAGGCCCATGGGCCTCTTGTTGTCTTACAAGTTATATGTGGTATCATGATCATCAATTCATCTGTGGGAATCTCATAGCTAGTGTGATGCTATAACGATTACATAATATCCCTTTATGTATGTTAGATATAGGAATGAATGCATTACGTTTTGGTTATGCCATGCATATTTTAAAATAATTTGAACTGTGAGAACTTTGCATAATTCTACAAAGCAGCTATTGTTAATAACATGTATATGCAACAAATATGTATGCAGTTTCTGTTGTGCAAATATGTGAATTGAAGGCGACATGCATAGGGGTCAGTCTTTCAGATTTGTACAAAGATTTAAATTGTACATGTATTGTGTGATGACTGAAGAATGTCACGAAACTGCCTAAAAACACTTATAGTATCCAATAGTACTGCTCATCAAGTTCTGATCAATAATACAACAGAAAATTTATTACATCTAGGTAAATTGTAATCAGCCATCATTCCACCTTAGGTAAGCCAGTACAATTAAACACATCCACTTCATTGGAACTCTTGTTTAGGTGTATCTACAACACATCCACTTCAGTGGAACTCTTGTTTAGGTGTATATACAACACATCAACTTCGGTGGAACTCTTGTTTAGGTGTATATACAACACATCGACTTCAGTGGAACTCTTGTTTAGGTGTATATACAACACATCGACTTCAGTGGAACTCTTGTTTAGGTGTATATACAGCACATCCACTTCAGTGGAACTCTTGTTTAGGTGTATATACAACACATTCACTTCAGTGGAACTCTTGTTTAGGTGTATATACAGCACATCCACTTCATTGGAACTATTGTTTAGGTGTATATACAGCACATCCACTTCAGTGGAACTCTTGTTTAGGTGTATATACAACACATCCACTTCATTGGAACTATTGTTTAGGTGTATATACAACACATCCACTTCATTGGAACTATTGTTTAGGTGTATATACAACCCATCCACTTCATTGGAACTATTGTTTAGGTGTATATACAACACATCCACTTCAATGGAACTCTTGTTTAGGTGTATATACAACACATCAACTTCAGTGGAACTCTTGTTTAGGTGTATATACAGCACATCCACTTCAGTGGAACTCTTGTTTAGGTGTATAAACAACACATCCACTTCATTGGAACTCTTGTTTAGGTGTATCTACAACACATCCACTTCAGTGGAACTCTTGTTTAGGTGTATATACAACCAGTGTAACAGGAGATGGAAAAATGCACGGCCAGACCGGGGTTTGAGCCCAGGACCCTCCAAACTCTAAATGGAAGCTATTTACTACCCAAGTTCAGGTATCTCCTTGCCAAGCATATATGCATCCACCCAATACTGGAAACAAGGGTTTGTCACAGGCACCACTGTAACAGGAGATGGTAAAATACATGCCAGACCGGGGTTTTAACCCGGGACCCTCTGAACTCTAGACAGAAGTTCTACCAATTGAGCTACCTGGTCGTCAACGATCGACCTAGTCCAGTTCTGCTACACCAGAAAAAATATCTTGATCATTTTGCTATTCATGGTAATCGCATTTTTTGTCAGAAATGAAAATACAAAAACACAAGTTTACAATTATTTAGGTTATCATGATATATTACCGAAAACATTGAACAGTTCATGCAATAAGCAATATCAAATTATTCATGTAATTAATAGAAGCTGAAGAAGCTTTACTAGGAGCTTACTGAGTGTAATAGTGTACTGAGTATAATAGTGTACTGATAGCGTACTGAGTGTAATAGTGTACTGAGTATAATAGTGTACTGATAACTTACTGAATGTAATAGTGTACTGAGTATAATAGTGTACTGGTAGCTTACTGAGTGTAATAGTGTACTGAGTATAATAGTGTACTGGTAGCTTACTGAGTGTAATAGTGTACTGAGTATAATAGTGTACTGATAGCTTACTGAGTGTAATAATGTACTGATAGCTTACTGAGTGTAATAGTGTACTGATAACTTACAGAGTTTAATAGTGTACTGAGTGTAATAGTGTACTGAGTGTCATAGTGTACTGAGTGTCATAGTGTACTGAGTGTAATAGTGTACTGATAGCTTACTGAGTGTAATAGTGTATTGATAGCTTACTGAGTGTAAAAGTGTACTGAGTGTCATAGTGTACTAAGAGTATTAGTGTACTGAGTGTAATAGTGTACTGAGTGTAATAGCGTACTGATAGCTTACTGTACATCTGTATGGTGCATTAAATTAATTAAAGCTCAGTGAATGCAAATTGATGAAAGACGATAACTGAAATTGTGTCTGTCAAAACGAAATCAATATGTGCTAAAATTAACCCTGTACAATGCATACCTGTTCACAATCAATAATAATAATGCTGTGTTTTTTACCTGTAGGTGGGTGTTTAGCTCCAGTAATCTTGAGCAACTGATCAAGAAAAGGATAGATGAAAGATTACAGACAGTGAAACCAGGATGTCTGGGTAAAGGATTCATATCAATACATATAGAGCTGTTTCTGTAAACTCTCAAGTATTATATAAGTAAAGCTTAGATAAGTTGTATATAAACCGGGATGTCTGGGTAAAGGATTCATATCAATACATATAGAACTGTACCTGTAAACTCTCAAGTATTATATAAGTAAAGCTTAGATAAGTTGTATATAAACCGGGATGTCTGGGTAAAGGATTCATATCAATTCATATCAGTGGCGGATCCAGAGACCTTTCTGGGGGGGGTTTCCAAATTTCCTGAGGGGGTTTCCATGTGGGGAAAACTTGAGGAAAATGGTGAAAATACATGATTTTTAAAGAAAATTCTCAGGGTGGGGGGGTTTCCTGAAGCCCAAAAAACCCTTCTGGATCCGCCACTGATATAGGGTGTAAGAGTTTGCAGACGTCTGTTTACATATACTCAGCCAGGACAAATGCATCCTTGTGCAAAACAGACGTCATTTCTTTATCACTACACACACTTGTGACAACGGTTCAGGGTGTTGCTTAAGCAGTGTAAATAAATGGTGATATTTTAGTCAATATAAAATTCATGCTGATGTTATATCTAATCATATTTGTGTGGAAATATCTATTGGGATGAGTTTTTGCTCGACGTCAAACCAAATATTGGTGGTTGAATAGATCTTAACCTAGAACTCCGAATATTAAAACGGGGACACTTTTATTTTTCTCTTCAAGTTGTGAAAAATGTTTAACGTGTTTTTGATAACATGAAGAATATTTTAATGAATAAATATAAAATGACATTAGTATAATGATATAATCTCATTGCGAGAACGAGACTTCTAGAAAAAGTGAAAACCACTGGTCTGCTTGATTCTTCCAGCTAAGCAAAGCACCCGTTAGACGGTCGGTCTTTCGGGTGGCGGGTGTTTCGAATGCCGGGTTAGTGAGAATCGNTCTCAAGTATTATATAAGTAAAGCTTTGATAAGTTGTATATAAACCGGGATGTATGGGTAAAGGATTCATATCAATACACATAGAACTATTCCTGTAAACTCTCAAGTATTATATAAGTACAGCTTAGATAAGTTGTATATAAACCAGGATGTCTGGGTAAAGGATTCATATCAATACATATAGAACTGTTCCTGTAAACTCTCAAGTATTATGTAAGTAAAGCTTAGATAAGTTGTATATAAACCGGAATGTCTGGGTAAAGGATTCATATCAATACATATAGAACTGTTCCTGTAAACTCTCAAGTATTATATAAGTACAGCTGTTATAATTATAAGTTGTATATAAACTGATGAAAAAATTGTCTAAGTCAATCTCCATGACATTATCAATCTCTCCTGTCCATAATCCCCCTATCCCCATAACAAAATATTAAAAACAAAATGTGTATGAAACATGATTTAATGACTTGTGTTTGTACATTTGTAATATGTATCTGATACCAGTTCCCTGCTGCAATAGTTTAAATACTAGCCCTTTCACCTCTTTAGAGGTTCATCGTGATGTCATCATTTTCTCTGTTGTGTTGTTGTCCGGTCAACGTGAATACACACATCCCCTGATTCACTTCTAAAGAGGTGAAAGTACCAGAGAATTGATATATTTGTTATGCAACTGAAACAAGAATTTCCTCTAAATTATGTACAACCTTTCATTCCTGTGATATTGACAATGAGGAGGTGTCATTCTACTCTTGTTTTAGTTTTACTTAACTTCATCTACTGTTTACTCTAGTACATCAGCCTCTTCTTATGCATAAATTGTATACATATTACAAATATATACAAACTCAATGGAATTACTAAGAAACTCTTTGTGTAATTTCTTTTATATTTAACCATCACAAGGACTTTGGATGTTTTTTTGTATAAATGTATATATGTATGTGTGTATGTCTATTGCAGATAAAATGGAATTATTATCATTCCAATTTGGTGATCAGACTCCGGCTGTTAAGTATGTGAGGGCATTTGAGTACTCAGAAGGAGTCCCCGGAGGTCATAAACCAGTGAGCTGGGTGAGCGTGCACTCCCCGCCCTGTGGCCTGGAGAAGATGTCTAACTACCAAGTCGTACTACAGGCGGAGGTGGATACGGTGTGTGAGGACTTCAAAATGGTGTTCAGGTCAACCATCGGCAAGGCAAGGTAGCTATATAGGAAACAATTAATATTGTATACATGTATATTGACAAGGTCAGGTATGATTCAAGGTCAGGTATGTTCTCAACAAATCAGAGTAATCATTGTCAAGGTCAGGTGCAGTGTCTCATAATCAATGTAATCAAGGTCAAGGCCATGTGCAGTATCATGTAACAAATATAACCAATGTCAAGGTCAGGTATTGTGCCATTCTGTGTAACCAGTGTCAAATTTAAATATAGAACTTGGGGGACAATTTGGTTTGATCAAGCAGCATTGTGGATGGCACCCTCCCTTTCTGCCAAGATGGATAGGGTTCAATTCCTGATCAGATGTGAAAAGGTGAAGGGTCGCCTGCCTGACCTCGTGGTATTCTCTGGGTACTCCTGTTTCCTCCCTTATGAAGACCCACTGCACACTTAATTACAGACCGAAAGAGTGATTAATATAGTTTGATAAACTTGTTATATAATTGTTATTAAACTAAGTTTATAGTAAAAAACCCATATCATTTAGTGCTGGCATGGTTTGTCTGATATTCACATATATTGGGAAGTCATGGCATGGTTTGTCTGATATTCACATATAGTGGGAAGTCACAAGTTTAGTGTTTGAGATAATGACTAATGTCTGCAAAAAATATTGTCAATCTAGTTAACCTCTACATGGATGTGTATCAGAGAGGTTAAAAAATAGGAAGTCAAAATTGTTTGTTAAGTTTTTTTGAAGTGTTCATATACAGTCTAGGCTTCAATACTACCAATTTTAATCTCCTGAATGTTAAAAGACTCTGGAGATGTCTAAAAAAACAGACATTTCAAGGTATGCAAGGTACTGCTATAAGTATATGAGTTGATAGTTTATGGATTTAAGTGTGAACTGATACATAATGTTATCTGTCGGCAAGGGCATGCATAATAATGGTGTCAAAGTCGGAGAAATGAAATTTGAACAGCTCAGGTAACTCCGAGGATTAAGTTGAACCCATTCATACCTGTAACATTGTTAGAGACGTGAATAACTCCCACTGTTACTATAATTACATACATGGTAGGAAGTCACATCGAGTATGCAGTCCAGCGTGTTAGTGCTGGCTATACATGTCACAGTATATCTTCAAAGCTTGGTTAGCTTCTGTCCAGTATGTTAGTGCTGGCTTTACCTGTGTACAGAATACCTCCATGTTAGTGCTGGCTTTACCTGGGTACAGAATACCTCCTTGTTAGTGCTGGCTTTACCTCTGTATAGAATACCTCCATGCTAGTGCCGGCTTTACCTGTGTACATAATCCCTCCATGTTAATGCTGGCTTTACCTGTGTAGAGAATACCTCCATGGTAGTGCTGGCTTTACCTGGGTACAGAATACCTCCTTGTTAGTGCTGGCTTTACCTGTGTACAGAATACCTCCATGGTAGTGCTGGCTTTACCTGTGTACAGAATACCTTCAAAGCTTGGTTAGCTACAGTCCAGTATGTTAGTGCTGGCTTTATCTGTGTACAGAATACCTCCAAAGCTTGGTTAGCTACAGTCCAGTATGTTAGAGCTAGCTTTACCTGTGTACAGAATACCTCCAAAGCTTGGTTAGCTACAGTCCAGCATGTTAGTGCTGGCTTTATCTGTACATATGATACCTCAAAAGCTTGGTTAGCTTCATTCCAGTATGCTAGTGCTGGCTTTACCTGTGTACAGAATACCTCCCTGTTAGTGCTGGCTTTACCTGTGTACAGAATACCTCCATGTTAATGCTGGCTTTACCTGTGTACAGAATACTTCCATGTTAGTGCTGGCTTTACCTGTGTACAGAATACCTCCTTGTTAGTGCTGGCTTTACCTGTGTACAGAATACCTCCATGTTAGTGCTGGCTTTACCTGTGTACAGAATACCTTGAAAGCATGGTTAGCTACAGTCCAGTATGTTAGTGCTGGCTTTATCTGTGTACAGAATACCTCCAAAGCTTGGTTAGCTACAGTCCAGTATGTTAGTGCTAGCTTTACCTGTGTACAGAATACCTCCAAAGCTTGGTTAGCTACAGTCCAGCATGTTAGTGCTGGCTTTATCTGTACATATGATACCTCAAAAGCTTGGTTAGCTTCAGTCCAGTATGTTAGGGCTGGCTTTACCTGTGTACAGAATACCTGAGTCATTCTTGATAACGAGTCACTCAGCAAACATGAGTCATGATACTCATTTACTCAGCTTACATGAGTCACTCAGCATATACCTGAGCCACTCGTGACACCCAGTCACTCAGCTTACCTGAGTCACTTGTGATACCACGTTATTCGGCATACTTAGGTCACTAGCTCAGCAGACTGTAGTCAATCATGATACCCAGTCGCTCTGCAGACTGGAGTCTCTTATGATACCCAGTCATTCATGATACTGAGTCACTCAGCATACCTTAGACTTTCATGACACTGAGTCATTCAGCATACCTTAGACTTTCATGACACTGAGTCACTCAGCATACCTTAGACATTAATGATACTGAGTCACTTGCATACCTTAGACTTTCATGACACTGAGTCACTCGCATACCTTAGTCATTCATGACACTTAGTCATTCAGCATATCTTAGACTTTCATGACACTGAGTCACTCAGCATACCTTAGTCATTCATGACCCTGTGTCACTCAGCATACCTTAGTCATTCATGATACCCAGTCGCTCTGCAGACTGGAGTCTCTTATGATACCCAGTCATTCATGATACTGAGTCACTCAGCATACCTTAGACTTTCATGACACTGAGTCATTCAGCATACCTTAGACTTTCATGACACTGAGTCACTCAGCATACCTTAGACATTCATGACACTGAGTCACTCAGCATTCATTAGACATTCATGACACTGAGTCACTCAGCATACCTGAGACATTCATGACACTGAGTCACTCAGCATACCTTAGTCATTCATGATACCCAGTCGCTCTGCAGACTGGAGTCTCTTATGATACCCAGTCATTCATGATACTGAGTCACTCAGCATACCTAAGTCATTCATGAAACTAAGTCACTCAGCATACCTGAGACATTCATGACACTGAGTCACTCAGCATACCTTAGACATTCATGATACTGAGTCACTCAGCATACCTAAGTCATTCATGAAGCTAAGTCACTCAGCATACCTAAGTCATTAATGAAACTTTATAAGTCACTCAGCATACCTTAGTCATTCATGACACTGAGTCACTCAGCATACCTTAGACATTCATGAGACATTCGTGATACCCTGAGTTACTGATCAGTGTACATAATTCCGACTAGTGAACAGTTCTCCTGTATAACTTTCTATACTAGGTACACATATTATACCATCAATGTTGCCTAATGTAGTTTCATGTTCATGTATTTATCTTAAGCGCATCAGATAACACCATCATAACTACATTGTATATTTTACCTTTATCAGTACCTATTAAACTCACTATATTGACCTCTGTAGATTGGTGTTTAGATATAAAGATGTCATTCTTCATGGATCTAGTGCAGTTTTCAGTATTGTTTGATATCATATCATGCTGTAGAATAATTCTGACACCAATATAAGTAATCCAGACATAAACTGCATTGTTTTAGTATCATAAAAGAAGCAACAGAAATTGGCATTTCAATTAAGTAAATTAATATTTGATAATCTTGATTTTGAAACCATTGAAAAATTATTGAAGGTAGTGTTTGTTTTCTTTAGTTGCTAATGACATTGCTGGATTCTTCAGTGAAAGTAAATACATATATGACACCCTTTTGTTTTCCAGAATGGGCCTTAGTTTTGACATGTCTGTTGAGAACCTCTTTATCAAGGGCAATCTCCAGGTCATCCTACATATGTCAATGGATGTACCGTTCCCTCACGTCACCAAGGCAACCATACTCTTCACTGAGCTGTAAGTAAACACAGACCAACAGGTCACATCTGGTTTCATGTTTATTCATAAATGTTGATTGAAAATGATTATCTCTAGTGTAAAAACAAATTGTGTATAAAATAGATATTTTGTGTTGTAAATATTTTCTATGAAAAAACGATCAATACAAATATATATATATAGACATGCAGTAAAATGTTAAGGTAAAATCATCTACTGTGATGTGGATATATTTGTTATGTACAGCTGTCTGATATGCATATATGCTGACATGATGAATTCATCTTGGCTAGACAATAAAAGTGCCAGTCTGAAATTTAGTGAAATCTTAAGCTGGATTAGTGGTTCTAGAAACTGCTAGCCCAATTGACTAGTAAACATTTGAAATTGCTTACCTTGTTCAATGATATTGGGTTACGGATATTTCACATGGACTAGTAAAAATGGGAAACAACTGCCTCAACTGACTAATGGTATTCAGAATTCATGTCTAGCCCTGTAACTTGAAGTACTTTAAAATCACACAGACAGAATGTTTATCCCATCACAGTATTGATATATTCAGTGTCTTATAATAGTATATACCTCTTCCAAGGTATGGGAGCTCCAGGGGAAAGGGTGGGTAATAAATAGAGGCCATTTTCTTCATTCGTCTAATTATCTATCTGTTCGTAGGTTAGCACTTTGGTTAACACATAATCTACCCCATAACCTCGTCTCAGGATTCCAATATGAAACTTTATCTATATACATGTCTGGATTAGATGGCAAATGCTCCATGATCTACGTGTATGTCTGAAATGTCAAGGTCGTGTCAAGGGATGATGTGGAATGATTGGTCCCTCTGTAACATGACAAGTTATGATAGGACTGAAGAGGGGTAAAAGGGTATAGCTTGTGAACCGTAGCTCAAGTTGTATTGATCTATTTGTTGTTCATGATCCATATGTATAATATAAATATTACATAAGCATTATTATATGTTTGTTTGTTTTGAATTGCAGCCCTGAGGTTTCATTCAGCGTAAATGTTTTAAAACATTTAAATATCATGCAAGTTCCGCTCATTAAATCCTGGCTACAAGCTAATGTGATGGAGGGCCTTACAAAAGGTAGTTTAATCCCTGACTTATAACTTATATTTCCCAGTGATAATTCCAATAACTTGACTTAGTCCCAAATTTGATAATTTGATAAATGACCCTGAATGTAGAGTCGGTGAAAAAGAATAAGGTCATGTATGACTTGATGCCAGGCATATTGGCTTTATTACAGGTAAGTACGGTAATACTGTACATCAAGTGTAGTTCAGGAATCAATATTTGATAATGATGTCTGATACTTTTCACTGCCTATGAAGATAGCATCAATATTAAATGTAGCAATATCAAAAAAACATTATGTATCTGTTTATATCACGCTCAATGAAATAGTTACAGACTTCATATCGTGTTAAATCTTATATGAATTTGATACGGATATTCAGATTAGAAATTGTCTAGGATGAATTTGATGTTCAATATGTTTCATATTTGTTTGAGAATTACATATTGCCCTTACAAGAACTTGTTTATTCTGTAAACTTTATTTTTTTGCATTCAATTTTAACCAAAATTGGTACTGCTCAGAGCTGTTAAAAAAACAAATATCTAGGATAAATCTTAATACTCAACATATTCAGTCACATTTATATTTATCTCACCTGGCATGAAGGGTGTATGGTGTATAGTGCACCATACATTGTCTTTCCAGCAGCAGCAAATGATTACTCTTAACCCTTAAGCTGTTACATTGATTTCTATGTAAACGGACACCACTGCTGAATTAATTATTGAAATTTAAATTAATTTACTTGATTTTTCAAATGTGCATAACTTGGAAAATATTTGTTATATGTGAAAAAAAGTTACATGAAAATTGTTCCTTGTTGTCTATAGTTTATATTAACGTTTTCAATTCTAAAGTTGCTTCAGTATTTATCTGTACAGGTGGTAATAAAGGTAAGAACATGTGAAACTTTTAATTAATCGGATTTAAGCAAGAGGAAGATCATTTTAAAATTATTTTCGTCCGCAAATGTGATTGGCAAATGATAACAGAGATTATAAACTTCATTTTTGACATAAGACGCTGTATATTTACACGGAGATTTTCAGGTAAAAAGGTCAGGTATTTCGTCAAGAATTGCATGTGATTTGCTACACGTTTCAGGTCGCCATTCAATAAATTGACCGTCACAGTCGGCATATAGACATATCTTAGCTACGGTCTAGTTTATGATTAAATCACCGATAAAAAGTTTGAAGAAATAAATCGGCTCAAAACGTATCCATGTCAATGTTCAATTCGGCCTCACCTGCAGACGACATGTGCGCCTCGGTCCACCGATATTTTCCTGTTTGAGTAGAGCACAAAGCCGTTTACTGGAAAGCTACATATTATGTAACACCGAAGTATTTCCACATCAACCATGCCAAACCCTTTAAAACCGATTTTATCATCGTAGGTGACGATGGAGAATAAATGTTTACCATCATATTCATTGCTTCAATCTACACGTCCGCCATTTTTATGACTTTTTTTTCGATATGAAATTCTCTCGCACACCTTTGGTTATTACTAGGGTACACTGCCGTGAATATCGAAAGTAATGACAAAACAACCAATCAGAAGCCCTCTACTCCCGCATTCGGTTTGGTATAGCAACAACCGACTTCACACTCCTGGCTACCGATCAAAGCCTACAGACCGAGAAACGACTATCGTCGTGCGTTAAGCACTGACGGCCCAACTTTTCAAAACGACTATTGTCGTGCGTAGCAGCCTAAGGGTTAAGCAAATTCTTCTGAATGACTAAAAGGCCTATGGAGATTGTGTTTGAAAAAGTAGAAAGATGGTATGAATGTGGGACCTTGACCCACTTAAAAGGTCACAGGGAGTCAAATATGTTTGAAGACATTTAAATCACTTCTTATGAATAATCAAGAGACCTAGTGTAAGGATATTTGGCCAGTAGCATTCTTAAGGTATAGAGCAAATTATATTTTGCAAAATATGGATTTTTTTTTTACTTTTTTGCTAGGACTATAATAACATGTACAGAGAATGAATGCTGACTAATGGTTTTGTGTATTTCAGCCCTTGTTGATCCTGGAGTGATCGACATTCCTATAGCCAAGACTGGTCCCATACAAATCATGAAGAAGTCTGACAAGCCAGATCCAATGGGTAGGCCAGAACTTTTCCACTGATCTTATTTTGTCATGTGGAATATATATGATATATCATTTGTTTATCCGTTTAAGATTACTTCCAGAAAAGAATAAGGGTAGATAGGCATTTATTTGTCTAAATGTGTTTTGTTCTGTGCTCCATCGTTACTTTGGAGCACAGATCCTGACTCTACCAGTGCTTTTCTGAATATGGGTACGTATATAAGCAGTAAAACTAAGAGAAAATAACTCTTAAGTAGATGCATTTGTTATTTGTCCTCATATCTTTTATTTTTGATTTTCCTTAAAAGATAACTGTATCAAAGAATTAAGGATTTTAACAGTATTTTTTTTTTAAAACAAAATGAATTACTGAAAAATGCAATAACTGGATATGTTAAATTCAGAACAAAATCAGTACATGTGTATGAAGATATCAATATTCAATTTATATCTTGCAGCTCAAGGTGTCCTTACTATTTTAATCAAAGGCATTCCCAAACCAACCCCTAAAAAAGCTCCAACAGGTAAGTGTATGTTCAGTGTTTATTTACACAGCATACCATATAACAGCCAGGAACTAATTCTAAATAGAATTTTTGCCAAAAAAGTTTCAGATTTCTTGAGAAGAAAATCAACTTTAGGTTATTGTTTTTACGTTTTTTTAAAATGAAAAATTGTTTTTAAGGATTGAATTTTGCTTTTGTCTATTTCATGGGGTGATGAGTTGGTCTTATGGCAAATATATGAACTACAAAGCGAATCCATGTTTAATTTGTCTAAGGCCAACTTGACTCATCACCCTATGAAATATATAATTCTATCCTCATGTTTCAATACAGCTTATTTGTTAAAACCTGGAACTTGAGAAAGTGTATCCTTAGTCAGTAGATATGCTGGAGCATATTTGATATTTATTGTCAAAGACCATTTGGGAAATAGATAATTCTGAATACAGTACTAGTATTTTTCCTAACTTCCTAATTGGTCTTAATGGCTTTTGTCAATTAAAAAAACAAAACAACACCAAAAACACTACAGGTGCAGTGAATAAATACTGATGTGAAATTTAACAAATTCATACCCACAATCAATGTAAATCTTGTCGATTTCTCGGCAAATGAAACAGACAACATTAAGTAGTTTCATTGCACGAGTCCATTTTGAGTAGATTGACTTAAGTCACATTTTAATATTTTAATTGTTCAAAACAGGGCCAGAAGAGGTGCGTTATACAATGGTAAAAGTTGGAGCAAAGAAGCGCCAGACTTATGACGTCATGGCAACTGAGGAGTGGGAGGACATTTGCTCCATGTTGGTCTACTCTCTAACCAAAGACAAGGTACTTGTTTCAGTCTGAATACAAAAGTTAATCTACTCTCTAACAAAAGACATAAAACCTGTAGTAGCCTGAAAACAGTAGCTAGTCTACTTTCTAACCAAAGACAATGTAGAATGTACAATGTACGTGTATTACTCTGAATACAATAGCTAGTCTACTCTCTAACCAAAGACAAGGGACTATTTATCTATCGGTCTGAATAAAATTGCTAGTCTACTCTCTAACCAAAGACAATGTACTTGTATTATTCTGAATATAATAGATAGTCTACTCTCTAACCAAAAACAAGGAACTGGTATAAGTCTGTGTACAGTAGCTTGTCTACTCTTTAACCATAAACAAACACAAGAAACATGTATTAGTCTGAATACAATAGCTATCCTACTCTCAAACCCAATGCTAGGTACTGGCATTTGTTCGAGTACCGAAGCTAGTCTACTCTTAAACAAAAACAATGTAGTATTAGTCTGAATACATTAGCTAGTCTACTCTTTGATCAAAGGCAAGGGACTATTTATCTATCAATCTGAGTAAAGATTGCTAGTCTAGTCTCTAATTAACTAAAGACAATGTACTAACATCAGTCTTGAGTACAGTAGCAAGTCTACTCTTTAACCAAAGACAAACATACAGTTTCAAAAGATTAATTTGATTATTGTTGCAATTTGTTGAAAAGGAAATGGTCATGGAAAATTATCTAATTTTATGATAATGTATTTTGTGATTTTGTTTAAAGGTTCATCAACAGTAGCTCAGGACCCATTTCCGACGTAAAATTTACTGCAGTAGTTCCCACACTGTGAATAACATTAAATTTTGCGTTATGATTTCAGATTGTCGTAAAGAACAAATGTCGCCGTTTACTTACCAATATAACCTTGGATTACCATGAGATTCTGTTGAATTCTTTGCCTTTAGAAATGGAGAAAAAGTAAGAAATAATGAATGTTAAATTTTGTTTCATATCAATAATTAAATATACATATAATATATGTGAAATCTGTCAAATCTACATATAACATGGATATCCTATACTGAGATAAGTAAATATGCTAGTGTAATGTTATAGATCTATTAAACAGAAGAAATAAAGATAAAATGTTGTGTAACTGCATTGCCATATTAACTTAACCTGGAATAAGATACTCCATACTGTGTATAAATGATGTAATATAGAATGATTCATTATTTTTACAGTATTTCTACAACCCTAACCAACAAAGATGGCAGCAAACACGAGTTGAAGTTACAGTACACCCCACTTACCTATATAGACTTGGATATAACATCTTCTGACCCCCCTCAGCTAGACTCCCCTGAGTGTAAGTATGTGATTTGTCAACTCCTCCCCTTCCTCCAGCTAGACTCCTGTGAGACTTATTACTTGACCCCTCCTGACCCCTGAACTAGACTCTCTTGAGTGTAATGTATATGATCTGTGAACCCCCCTCAGCTAGATTCCCTTGAGAGTAAATAACTTGAACTCTTCTCACCCCTTTAACTAGATTCTGCTGAGATAAGTATGTGACCTATCAATCCCCTCCCCAAACTTGACTCTACTGAGTGTAAGTGTGAGTCAGTCGACCCATCCTACATCTCGCCTCCCTCAGTTAGACTTCCTGTGAGACGAATTACTTGACCTCTACTGACCCCCTTCAACTAGATTCTCATGAATGTATATGACCTGTCAACCCCTCCCTCAGCTAGACTTCCATGAGAATAAATTACTTGACCTCTTCTGACCCCTTCAACTAGACTCTACTGATGAGTGTATGTTACCCGTCAAACCGGCCATATACCGGTAGTGGGTCTTCATTAGTATGTTTTAACCTCTGACCTCTGCCTTTCAGCCGGATTCTAAGCATTTGAATTAGTTGATATTAACATGTACACCAATCCTTCTCAATTGTAGTGGCTGGGGTGATGTTTGTGAGTGTTCACAGTGCAGCTGGAGTGGTCGCCGCGGACAAAAGTGGTACATCAGACCCGTATTGTGTGGTGTTTTGTGACAGGCGTCGGGTACGTTGCTGTTTGAGTAATTAATACGTCTTTTCAAATTCAGTGGAACCTTCATATACTTCTATTTTCATTTTTAACTCACCTGGCCGAAGGGCCAAGTGGGCGGCGTCAGTCGTCCGTCCGTCGTCAACATTTTGCTTTTAACAACTTCTACTCAGTAACCTAAAGGACTAGGGTGATGATATTTGGCCAGAAGCATGCTGGGATGAAGGGCTACCAAGTTTGTTCAAATAAATGACCTTCATCCATTTTCAAGGTCACAGGAGTCAAATATGTTAAATTCTTTAAACAACTTCTTCTGAATAACCAAGAGGCATAGGGTGATGATATTTGGCCAGTAACATGCTGGGATGAAGGTCTACCAATTTTGTTCAAATAAACGACCTTGATTTATATTCAAGGTCACATGGGTCAAATATGTTTAATACCTTTCAACATCTTCTTCTGAATAACCAAGAGGCCTAGGGTGATGATATTTGGCCAGTAGCATGCTGGGATGAAGGGCTACCAAGTTTGTTCAAATGAATGACCTTGACCAATTTTCAAGGTCACAGGGGTCAAATGTCTTAAAATCTTCAAACAACTTCTTCTCAATAACCAAAAGGCCCAGGGTAGTGATATTTGGCCTGTAGCAATCAGAGCTACCAAATTTGTTCAAATGAATGACCTTGACCCACTTTCAACCTAATGTCATTGTTTGACATTCCAGGTCACACTGATATTAGGCCTGTAGCTGTATTTTAGTCCACTTTTAAGATTACAAATGTGAGATTAATACCAGGTGAGCTATGCAGGCCCATTGGGCCTCTTGTTCTGTATAACTATTGTCATTACTATGAAGTAAAACAAGCTAAAATCAAACTTATCCAGTCCAGATTTTTTTTTAAAGATAATGAAGTGTTCAACTTTAGGATTATAGTTAGGGGCAAATAACTCGTTCAGCATATTCTGCTCAACTGATTTTTTTTTTTACAAAATCCTAAGTGTTTATAAAAATGTACGAGTTCAATTCAACAACATGTACCTTCCTTTTGTTATCAACTTTTGTCTATAGAAAATGATACATTTTCTGAAGTAATCCTATTAAATGGATTAATATGTAATATGTGTTACATGTGTACTAGTATATTTATATGTGACGGTTAACAATTCTGTATTACACATCTAATTGGAACAGGTAATGACCACACCGTACATTCCCCGTACGAGAAACCCTCACTGGGAGAAGTCAGTGGAATTCTTCACTGGCGATTATACAAAGGTATACAGATCACACTTCTATGTGGCTTGATTTATTTAACAGTAGTTTTCTGTGTTGTTAAAGTTAATGTTTAGCTCAAGGGCCAAGTCAGCTTATGTTAATTTTTGTTATAAATTGTATTTGATGGATATCCTTTGTGATCAAGGTCACTGTTACTTTAGATGGAATAGAGGCGATACACACATGTTCTGTCAAACATCAATCGTAATGCCTTTTCAGTCTTGTCAGTGTTCATTTTGATGGTAAGTGGTGTAAGTATTTTGTGGAAATCCCACGTTAAAAAACTGAAATCCATGGCAGCCACAATTTAACAGTTCTGATTGGCTGAAACCTACACAGGTATATGGATACAATTTTGTTCAAAATTTGTGGTAATTGCCATTGGTCTTTTCTGATAACATGTGTGTAACTCCTTATTACCTGTATTCTGAAATCAGAAAATGATATGGATGTACAATTTTGTTTACACTTGGTTGTAATTGGACTTTTCTGATAATTTGTGTAACTCCTTAGAGTAAATATTCAAAAACTGTTATTATTCAATTCCTGCCTGCTCTCAGCTTGTATTTATTTTGTCTTTTTTATATATATTCATTTTCCATATAATGTAAGTGCTCAAAATGACCAGATGAGCTATTCAGGCCTTTAGGCTTTCAGTTTATAAGGCTATAGTGTTTTCATCAGTTACGATTGGCTGTCAAATACGTTGATATTTCCCAGTAATTCCATGAATTTATGTGTTTACAGATGAATCTATCATTTTACGTTTTTGACTGGGATGGCAGTAGTACCATTGATGACGACTTTTTGGGATCCGCCCACCTGTCACTCAAAGAGGTAAAATCTCTTATTCATGTGGAAACCTAAAGCAAGTTTTGAATTATAACATTTCAGATCAATACAGATTTGTCAGATACTTGGATTGTTTGAGTTTAAAACAAATATTTCAATGGTACAAGTACAGGACTACGTAATCCAAACGAAATGCATCACACTTTCCCCGACTGTAGATGTGTAGAGGTGTTGGATTGGATAACGTTGTTTCAGGGATCCTATTCTGGTGACTGTTCGTTGAGTGTCATACTAATTGGCTAGAGAGAAAGGTCGCCAGAGCAAGATTGATATACGGTGGTATAAGATCTTACACGGTAAAATAATTATTGTATAGAAACAGACCGAAGGTTTTTAATTAGGGCCCCGTATTGGAGATACGGGTGCCCTATAGTAATCACTCTGTCTGTCTGTCTGTCCGTCCGTCCACAAATTTTGTTCCTGGCTGTTAACTTTGGCATTTATTGACCGATGTACATGAACCTTGGTCAAAATGTTCAGGTCACAAAAATGCACATTGAGGTAAAAAGTCAAGGCCAAAGGTCAAGGTCATTAGATTCAAAGGCCAAGGTCAAATTTTACATCTTTTCACTGATGAACATTTTGTTATGACATGATGAAGCAAAATTGATCAGAATTAAACAAGGAGTCAACTGACATAAGGTCAATGTCATTGGGTCAGGGGTCAAGGTCAAATTTTGTATCTTTTCACTGGTGAACCAATTTGCTATGACATTATGGAGCTAAGTTGTTGGGAATTAAACAAAAAACATACTGAGGTAAAAAGTCGATGTCAAAGGTCAAGGTCATTAGATTCAAAGGTCAAGGTCATTAGATTCAAAGGCCAAGGTCAAATTTTGCATTCACTGATGAACATTTTGTTATGACATGATGAAGCAAAATTGATCAGAATAAAACAAGGAGTCAACTGACTAAAGGTCAAGGTCATTGGGTCAAAGGTCAAGGTTAAATTTTGTATTTTTTTACTGGTGAACATTTCGCTATGACACTTTGAAGCAATGTAGCTCAGAATTAAACAAGGAGTCAATTGACCAAAGGTCAAGGTCACTGTGTCAAAGGTGAAGGTTAAATTTTGTACCTTTTCTCTGATGAACATTTTATTATGACACTATGAAGCAATGTTGTTCAGAACTTAACACTGAGTCAACTGACCTTAGGTCCAGGTTATGGGGTCCAAAGGGTCAAGGTCAAGTTTTGTATTTTTCACTGATGAACATTTTGTTATGATATTAAGAAGCAAGAATAAAAGAATAAGTCAACTGACCAAAGATCAGGGTCACTGGGTTAATGGTCAAGGTCATTTGGATCCAAAGGTCAAAGGCAAAGTGGATCTCTGACTTTGACCCTGGTTCATGATGGAGGAGGTATAAAAGGTGAAATAAAACAAATCAAAGCTAACAAATGAGTATTGCACAGGTATTTACATTTCTGTTAGCCCAGCAAATATAGAGGTGGAAGGAAACAAGACTCACATCATAGTACATGAAAAATGTATATTTTGCTTCCTTGTGATTCTTTTTGAAGTCCAAATATCAAACGTAAAGCTCAGCTTTATGGGCAGATTGCTTCTTGATGGTTATGGGGGTTATATTGCCTAAAGACGGGGCCCTTACTGACCTGTCAGTGTTCTAGTTCTAGTTAGATTTGTACAGAAACAACAACATCAACAAGATATTTTCAGGTTAAAAGAATAATTGTGATTCATTACCAGTACATATTGTGGAGTTTTGTTAATGGAAATAAGACATAGATTATTTTCAGATATCTAATAACAGACAATTACGTTGATAACAAAACAATATATTAGCCATACCCTTGCGTGTAGTTGTAGTATACTTGTAGTGTATCCATGTTGTTGATTGTACTTACAGGGTGAGAGTGGGTTCCTGAAAAAGGGTATCACCCTTGGCTACAACAAGCGGTCAGAAGGTTACGTTACAGACTCTGCCTTCGGAGAGATCACTGTGTCCGTCGTGTTCCGACCGATCTCCTCTGTCGCAAAATCAGGTGGGTAAACTTGCATTTTATGTGGTTGCGTGTTTTAGACACATGGCAGAAACTGCTTCAAGCAACATTATTCAGCAAAGAAGTGAAGGAAAGTTAAACATGTATACACCTTGTGTCATGTTATGTTGATTATTAGTAAGGGGAGGGGAATCAAATGTTACCCACATCTGTCCCATCCCCATTCAGTGTTATCTTTAATTAAATTTCTGAAACGGATTTTGATCAAACTTTACCCAACTCTTTGCATATACCTTGGATAATTTTAAATGTCAAGGTTCCAAGTTCAAGATCACCATTACTATTTACAGAAAATTGTCAATGAAACTAATTTGCAAGGGTGCCAGGAGCACTCTTGTTGTACAGATATTTTCAAATTATCAAGTATTATCATATTTCATAATTTTGTATCAATTTTCTTTCAGATTAATAAGGTTGGTAATATATTAATTATAAAGATGTTTAGAAAACTAAACAATATAATATCATTATGATATGTATACCCCAATAAACGAAGTTTGGTTGGGATAATAGTTTGGTGGGGAACATTTGTATTTAGGAATCACCCTGTCTGTCTTTCTGTCCATGATCCTTGTTAGCACAACTACTCCTTAACCATGTTTTGGAATTTTTGTAACTTTACAATGTGAAATACGTTGTATATATGTAGATGTGCAGAAAGGAATTTACGATTCAACTACTTTTTCCTGGAGTTATGGCCCTTGAAATCTTGTGAGCACAAAATCTTGTGAGCACAACTCCTTCTTCACATTTTGTTTGATTTTTTTGTAACTTGACAAAGTAAAAGAAAGGAATTTGAGATACATTTTTTTCCGCTGGAACTATGGTCCTTGAAAATATAAAAAAAAAATGCTCTAGAATCTTTGTGAGCGCAAGCAGGAGCTATATCTTTGTGAGCTTGCTCACATTTTCTCTAGTTAAGATAACTTTGCATTTGATAGCAAATATTTATAACAAAGCACTTTTAGCAAAATAATCACACAATACCTTTTTGGTTTTCAATCAGGATAGTAATATTGCCCACGAAACAATTCTCAGGCAGATGCCTACTTGAAATATTTGCATGAGACTGGATCTATGGAGGTAACCATGGTAACAGTTCCTAGAACTAATATTTGTTAATTGTTATGTTACAGTGGAAATGATAGCATCATATTGTTTGTTGTTTATATGTTGTATTGGCATGAGAATGGGTTAATTCCCAATCCTATCTAGGATGGAACTATAATAAATCACCTATAATGGTATTCATGTACCTGTATTACACTATAGTTTAATTGTACATAACTATTTACTTAAGCTGGAAATAAATGCAGTAAAATTAAGATACAGACATTTCATTATTTCAAATAAGATTATCAGGCTTACCCTTTGATTTATCTAGATGACCCGTTTATATCACTTACCTGTTGTCTTCTATCCCATGAAAGGTGTAATTGCTATGCTTTAAGGATTGGTAAAGTTTTCCAAAAAAGCCACTCACCCATGTGATTGTTTAAATCTACTTGGGGCGAATGAATCATGTTAACAAACCATATTGACTCTGAATCAAAATATGACTTCATGACAAGACTAGAATAGTTAATGTTGTAGTGGTCACCCTGAGACATTTTTGAGACTTGTTTGAGACCTGTTTGAGACTTGTTTGAGACTTGCTTGAGACCTGTTTGAGACCTGTTTGAGACTTGTTTGAGACCTGTTTGAGATCTGTTTGAGACTTGTTTGAGACCTGTTTGAGACCTGTTTTAGACTTGTTTGAGACCTGTTTGAGACCTGTTTGAGACTTGTTTGAGACCTGTTTGAGACCTGTTTGAGACCTGTTTGATACTTGTTTGAGACTTGTTTGAGACCTGTTGTATAGATGTTGTGTGTGAAGTGGGTGTTGCTGTTGTAGAGCGGTACCGCCTGGTCAGTAGTGGGGCTCCCCAGGACTACCTGTACACAGAGGACCTGGTGTCACCTTCGTCTGTTGTAAGTACCGGTCAAGATGTTGTCTATCTCATTATATCCCTGCCCCATGCTATCTTTGTAACAAGTAGTGATCAGTACAATACACTCTTTGATTTGACTGTTCTAATTTAACCTCCCCGGAATTTGTCACAGATTATTGGAGTTGTTTTTTTACTATGTTAATTACATAATAATTCTGTGGAATATAATTAACAGTACTACTAAGATGTTTAAATGCCATGATGTTTGACCTAATAAGCTGATACTGTGTGGTGTGTGGGTCCTGTGTGTCCTGATGTGTGGGTGCTGTGTGACCTGATATGTGGGTGCTGTGTGTCATGATGTATGGGTACTGTGTGTCCTGATGTGTGGATACTGTGTCCCGATGTTCGTGTACTGTGTGTCCTGATGTGTGGGTACTGTGTGTCCTGATATGTGTGTACTGTGTGTCCTGTATGTGTGGGTACTTTGTGTCCTGATGTGGGTTCTGTATGTCCTGATGTGTGGGTGCTGTGTGTCCTGATGTATGGATACTGTGTGTCCTGATGTGTGGGTTATGTATGTCCCGATGTGTGGGTGCTGTGTGTCATGATGTGTGGGTGCTGTGTGTCCTGATGTGTGGGTACTGTGTGTCATGATGTGTGGGTACTGTGTGTCCTGATGTGTGGGTACTATGTGTCCTGATGTGTGGGTACTGTGTGTCCTGATGTGTGGGTGCTGTGTGTCTTGATGTGTGGGTACTATGTGTCCTGATGTGTGGGTACTGTGTGTCCTGATGTATGGGTACTGTGTGTCCTGATTTGTGAGTACTATGTGTCCTGATGTGTGGGTGCTGTGTGTCTTGATGTGTGGGTACTGTGTGTCCTAATGTGTGAGTACTGTGTGTCCTGATTTGTGAGTACTGTGTGTCCTGATTTGTGAGTACTGTGTGTCCTGATGTGTGGGTGCTGTGTGTCTTGATGTGTGGGTACTATGTGTCCTGATGTGTGGGTACTGTGTGGCCTGATGTGTGGGTACTGTGTGTCCTAATGTGTGGGTACTGTGTGTCCTGATGTGTGGGTGCTGTGTGTCCTGATGTATGGGTACTATGTGTCCTGATGTGTGGGTACTATGTGTCCTAATGTGTGGGTACTGTGTGTCCTGATGTGTGGGTGCTGTGTGTCCTGAGGTGTGGGTACTGTGTGTCCTGATGTGTGGGTACTATGTGTTCTGATGTGTGGGTACTGTGTGTCCTGATGTGTGAGTACTGTGTGTCCTAATGTGTGGGTACTGTGTGTCCTGATGTGTGGGTGCTGTGTGTCCTGATGTGTGGGTACTGTGTGTCCTGATGCGTTGTTACTGTGTGTCCTGATGCGTTGTTACTGTGTGTCCTGATGTGTGGGTACTATGTGTCCTGATGTGTGGGTACTGTGTGTCCTGATGTGAGGGTACTATGTATCCTGATGTGTGGGTACTGTGTGTCTTGATGTGTGGGTACTGTGTGTCCTGATGTGAGGGTACTGTATGTCCTGATGTGTGTACTGTGTGTCCTGATGCATTGTTACTGTGTGTAAGTATATGCCTTATGCTCTCCATTAAGTTATGTAAGCTGTCTTATGTTAGTATGTACTGCCTGATGATTGAGGCATGCACATCCCAAGGACTACATGTTATACTCTGCTAGCAATGTTATAACAAGTACAGGTTTCTTGTCCATGAAGAAGTCTTGTTTGTTTATAGGATTAATTGCCTGGGATTAATGTGCACTGAAACCATTGGTATGTTTATGTGATTGACGGTGTATTTATTGTTCATTAACATATACAATATACTCTGGTGTTCACTAGGAGAACTGTGTATGTGTCTTACAATAGCATACACTGGTGTGATTATGTTGTCTGGTGTGTCCATGTGGAAGTCTAGTTACACTGTTCAGAACCACAACTGGACAGGTACATGGATGTCCATTACCTGGAGACAATTGTCACAAATACACTCACCTGTCTGTTAAGCTACATGTTTTGCAGACATTAAAACAGAAAGCAATTGGACAAGTCATATAGGTTGTGTTACTTGTTTATCTTTCTATGTAATTGGTAAAGACAAAATCAAACATAAATCCTGATGTTGTAGTGCTAGATAAGTAGTGTCACTTTATAGCCTATCAATACATGACATACAGTTTTGTTGTACAGTTTATTATCAGTCCACAAGTGTAGCATGGCCCTGCAATAAGGGATGATATACCATGCCTCAGTTCCTTGTGTGTCACACTGTCCTACATATTTATTTTTCCAGCATTACTTTTACATATGTGATGTTAGGTGTAGAAAATGAAGATTGACAATTTACAAAAACAAATTGTGTAAACACATTATTTTGGTTTTGGCTAAGTTAAACTTTGAGCACACACTTATCAGGTGGTAGGCTGTGAAATCACTTTCTGTCCATGGTCCAGCATTGGTTGATCAGTCAATGTGTCTGTGAACAAGTTTTGTTATTGCTATTTCTGAGAAACTAGCAATAGGATCATGTTTAAACTTAATATACATGATTCCCTTGGAATTTAACCATATTTCAGTTTGAAGGGGATAGAAAAAACAAGCATAGACCATGCCTCTCACAAATCAAATCTTTGTAACTTGCTTTGTATGACTCCCCCATGGATGTGCTGGTTAAAGAATAACGAAAACAAAGAAAAGAAACTAGGTACCAACAACACTGTTCCATGATCTTTCAAAATTGGGTGATAAAATCTGTCTATGATGTTTTGTTTACGTTCCCTTCGTACTAATTTATCCGAGTTGGATCCAGACATTTTGAACACCAAATATTTCCTCACATTCACATACCTTCCCAGTAACCATTTATGATGTATGATTCTATTCTCTACCTGCACAACGTAGATGTTAAAGGGATCTTATTGTGTGCACTGCCAACATTACGACATTCTTTACTGGTATGTTTAGATATTAAGTATGGCAAATATGGTACTTATAAAAAAAGAAAAATGGTACAAACTTTATGAATATTTTCATTGGTGAAATAAATGCATATTAAAATGTGTGTTTGTAGTGTTGCTGGAAAATAGGTGTACCGGTAAGACTTTGTCTAGCGTAATAGTAGAAGTCGGTCATTAGGTACTATGATTAAAACGGCTGGCACTATGCTACATTTGTACATGTATCAAACCAAGGTCCTACAGTCTGTTACAGTTACCTATACCCTGGTAGTAATAATACATGCTAGGCTTACAGCAAAAACAGTAAGTATTACCATAAATCAGACCATTTGCTCACTATATTTTTCTGAACCTGATTAGTTTTGTATCACACATTAATTATGCATTACCAGAATGATTAATATAAATTAATCTGTAATAAGATTTTAGATCTTTTTATTAAATTGACATGAAATAAACGTACATTTTATATCTTTTATCTTTAATATGTTTTGTAATACATTCCTAAGTCTTATATACATTTAATGCATACTGCTTCTGTAGAAATATATATATTAAATATAATTAATAGGTCTACTTGTACAATATACATCTTTACAGGTCATATCATTTCAGCTGTGTAACACATATAAGAACTATTTCCATCAGGCATACTGTATTAGCTATGACATCTAACTACTTGATACAACTCTAAACTATCGTATACACTAGAATGGACATTCCTCTGTATGCATAGCATATTGTATAATTCTGATGTATAGATATACATAAATATAGATAAAACTAAAGTTGCAACAGATATAACATCATACATTTGATCTGTGGAAATCTTTCTGTAATGGCATGAATGGGTGTGAGTGTTTGTCTCTGCTGTATGAGACTATTGAAACATTTACTTGTCTCCGCTGTGTGAGGATTTTAAATCATTGATCTGTCTCCACTGTGTGAGAGTATTAAATCATTTACTTGTCTCTGCTGTGTGAGAGTATTAAGTCATCATTCTGCTCAACTGCGAGTGTCATTTTTCTCCACTGTACCACACACTGTGTTTAAGTCTGTCACGTCTAACTTGTATTTTGTTGTGAACAGCCTCATACCCTGAGACCTTCCCATCATTCCATCACTGAGGACGCTACTCGGGTAAACTTCATCCTTCGCCATTGCATCCCACTCATGCTAACGCCAGTGGTTGTAGATCCAGTGACTCCGGGAGGGGTTTAGTAATTTAGACGACACCATATGCTCACCTATCCCGCCTTCTAATAGCCAACCTATCCCGCCTTCTAATAGCCAACGAACACCTCAACTTTAACCTGAATATGACACCAGAATCCAGCTATATCAAAAAAAATTAGTCTCTAAATTCCTTATATACATTTTTAGCTCACCTGGCCTGAATCGAAGGGCCAAGTGAGCATATCCCATGCCGCAGCGTCCGGTGTCCGTCGTCCGTCAACTTTTTCTTTTAAAACTCTACTAGTTCTCAGTTTTGTATAAACGGAGCGTATGGTCCCGCTGGGGGCAGAGGAGCGGGGCCAAATAGGGGGAAAATAGGTAAATCTTTAAAAATCTTCTTCTTCTCAACCAATAGAAGGATTTTGACCAAATTTGTTCTAGAGCATCTTTGGACAAAAGAATCAATTTTGTTTAAACTGAAGTGTGTGGACCCCCTTCTTTGGGGCAGAACAGATGATAGGGCCCATTAGGGGAAATAGAGGAAAATATTAAAGATCCTACTCCTTCGTCGTTGAAGGGATTTTAACCTAACCAAACTTGTTCTAGAGAATCTTTGGGCAAAGGGAATTGAATATTTATAAATGTGCCCCCCCCCCCTCCTCCCCAACCAGGCAGAGGAGCAGGGGGATTTAAACCAAATGTGGTTTGAAGCATGCTTAGGGGGAAAAAACTCAATTTGTTTAATTTGTATAAAAAGGTGCATGTAAGGGGAAATAGAGAAAATAGAGAAAAATTGGGACATAACATGGAAACTCATTTTCTTGGTGTCTTTCCCACCAAAACAGATTTATATGTAGTTCTTCTTGCAACTTTGTTCCTTTGATAAACCTGAATGGTACTCGGCAGGTTTTAAATTGAAAAATAAAATACCAGGTGAGCTATTAAGGCCCCTGGGCCTCTTGTTTATTGAAGTTAACATGTAGAGCTGTGGACACATATCCAGTAAAATTCAAGGAGTGTGAGGAATGTAATACTATTCTTGCTAGAAAATTTTGTTTTTTCAGGTCCTAGACAAAATAATGCACCAGTAGTTAGCACTTCCTAACTCAGATCATCAAATCCTCTCAAGTAGACCTAGATATTGTTCACTAAAAACACTCCTTATTTCTTTTTTAAAATGCAGACATTTACTTCTACTCTTTTGAATTAATTTCCCTAGATACATGTACCGTAAAGCTTATTCACACATACATTTCATTTGATCAAGAATTACTACCCTATAGCTAGTTCGGAGGTTCAATCACCTTGGCCCTTTCTATTGGACCTGAACCACCTTCCCTTTGATCTCTTATCAACCCCCTTTCCGAGTCTCTTTACCGGTACCCTCCCAGACTGAGCCTGGATCTGCTGCCGACCTGTATAATCTGACATCCATGTAGTCTGTATTAATTAGCATGTGGTCATTGGTGTACTACTACTACTGTAAACCTGTCTATTGTGTACCACTGTGTACTCTAACCACCCCATCTTCATTTTCACCATCCAGTCCCCATTATCTGTAAAAACTTTAATGTATTCCTGGTACATGGACCAAATCTTTGCAACTTTCAAGAGGTGTATTTAACCATAAAAAACTTGTATGTGATACTGTAATTCCTGGGCCCAGATAATTGGCTGCCGTGTATATTATACTGCCTAGCTCCAAAGATATAGATGGAGACGGTATAGATTTCTGTAGTAGCTTACTTGCACTAAGAATTAACTGAATATTAGTTCTTATACCAAACAAATACTTTACATTGAGTTTCCATGAAGTAAAACACTTAAAGTAACATTAAGGCTGAACTAATGACCATATAAGTTATTCCCTGGTAAAATCTTTTTCAATATTTCAGAAATTTATTAAATATAGAAATTTGTATCATTCATTGTTTCATCCTTTCTCTGTTTTCATGCTCAACAATAAAATAAGATTTTGTTTTTACCTGTCATCTTATTCAATTTCAATCTAATTTTCGATGTAATTTTGTATATAATTATGAATCCTATATCACTATCGAAGTGTTGACCTATTTAAATAGGATGACGATGTGACGTCAGATGTTATGATGCCAGAGGTATTATATAAATAAGAGATAAAAACTCCTCTTACCAGACATATTGTTTACATTGTTGATCTGGGGCAAATACAACAAAGCTTTGGATGACAATGACAATTGTTTTATTTTCATAAACAATACAGTGTAGAGAATACATATATATACAAATGGGTGACAATAATACACGGTGGAACAGGATGGACATTAGTATTGTGAATTAATTATCTCATTAATATCGGTAATACATTTAGCCAATGATATCAATGATGAAAAGTTAAAGAATTTTATTTTGTTGGTTAAATAGCTTATTATTTGCCAATTCAACATTGTAAACTATTATTATAGTTTCCGCACACCAATTTTTTGTTTGCCCTTTCACTTAAATCACATCTACCCATAGTTAAACACATTAGATGTTGATGTATATATATAATATTGCTAGTGTAAAAAGATACCTAGGTATTGATCGTGCTAGTATAAGATATACCTAACCAAATATTTATACTGCTAGTGCAAAAACTTACTTACCTTGGTATTTATACTGCTGATACGAAAATATGGTCCGCCTAATAGTTATACTGCTAGTGCCAAAATATCCTTATACAGGTATTAATACTGCTAGTGCGGAAATGTATGTACCTTGGAAAAGGCACTGCCAGTTCACAAAGGTGAAAATATACATATTTTACAGTATTTTAAGTGTCATTCCAAAAGAAAATTGTGCTACTAAATGCAGTTTAAACATAAATAAAAAAAAATGTTTGCAATTTTATTTTCTGAAGTTCATTAAATTAAAAATTTAGACCAGGTTGATTTCAGTTGAGAATTCATGACCATTGGCTGTGGAAAACAATACATGTTGATTGGACTCCTTTATATTCTTTTGTTTTGACTTTTCTGCCTACCAAAGTACTTATTTGTATTTGTCCTAACGGGTTCAGATTGGTGGAAGGGGAGATAACCTTTTGTTGTGGATGAGAGGTGTATTATTGTTTGCATGACACCGTTCCTTTTTGCATGTCTATTATATCTATATATTTATATACAGTTCTAGTATTCGTTCTGGCATGTGCTAGTCAAAAGATGAGGTACACAAGCAGTTAAAATATGGTGATTGATTTATTTTCAGGAAAATTACAATTTTTTTTTACATGTTGTTACAATATGTTGCGTTTGCATTTAGGTTTGGGTAGTTAAATAAAATCAAAACAATCAACATTTTGAAATATTCTATGGTTCTTATTAGCGAAAGTCATGACTATTTATCTTAGTTATGACCAAAGTTTAAATATACAGGTATATATCATCATTTAATTATTACTTGAGTAAATGTAATTATTATGTAAATAATTTTGATAAATTTTATTGTACATAATAGTCCAGAGGGAATTTTAGGTATAATACTATTGAATTGAGATGGAAGTAGTAAAAGCATGTAAATGCAGGTACCAGGTAGTTGTTTTTTCTGTACTGCTAAGCTGGTTACAAGGGAATTGTATGTATACACGGGATATGGGTCTAACACCAGGTAATGGCTGGAGCAACATAGCTGAGACCTCAGTAAACATACCTTAATTATAAGGGACACGTGCAGGTCATTGTGGGCAGTAATTGACCAGTGAGACTGGTGTAGTATGAACTAGATATTAACCCTGCCATACATTGTAAGGAATGTCATAGGTGTAATTGGAAGATTGACCCTACATTACATTAGACAAACTTAACTATCGCAGATAAACATGACTGCTAGCAGATGTTGTGTACATTACAAAAAAAGGGGAACCATAACGAAATTATTAGATATTTACCAAAAGCAAAACCAACTATATGCTTTGTCAAAACACTGATGTGAAACTATTTGTTTATAAAAATATATATAGAACAGCTAGCCAACACAAATCATAACCAAGTCAAAAACATCACTTTTATTAGCATCATAGGTACTGAAATGACAACTTTCGTTGTTACCAGTTTATTTATTTGTAATTAATGCATTTTGTGACCTGGAATTTAAATTGAGGGATAGGCATATATATTTATAGTAAGAAGCTGTGAATGTGATAATGGTTTTCCTGCATGTGGGTTAGGATAAACACTTTGATTGATTACACATACCTTAAACTAATTACCTCTTGTGTTTTGCTGTTTTTCTTTTGGATTTAATTTGGAAATATAACTCGTTATATCTAAAATTATAGCACATTATTTTGCACCTGAAACAATTATGTTTGTAACAATTGTACCATATTGTGTTTACTTACATATTATATTTCTGTATCTTGCATATAGTTATAACTCTATAACCTGTAAGACTCTAGTGATGTTGTATCAATTTCTCCAACACTATCTCTAGAAACAGAAACAGAATATAGATTGTGTAATTAATGTTTTTTTATTGTTTACAGGGAGGTGGTCCTGGTGACCCTCAGAGATCGGCCTCTTGCTTACAGGACTTCCCTGATGGTCAGTATATGTATCACTGCCTCATTAAAACTGAAACATCTTTACAAGTCTTCCAACAGACAACCAGTATAAAAGCTAACAAAGTAGTATATAAGTTGATGTACCCTCAGCAACTACTGATTAGTTATCATGACTATTGATATAGTGGTATGTTTGATTTGGAAATAAAGAAAAGGACTTCAAAATATGTATAATCATGAAAATGTTGAATTTTAGGTGAAGAGAAAGTATCTTTAAAAAATCACAGTTAATCATAAAAGTAAAAAAATCTGTATACAATAAATATGGACATGGATCACTAGGGATCATCCAAATGTTCTGTAAGCACAGATAATAATTTGTGAACCGCTTTGAGACGACCTACGAACTAGGTTAATTTGTGATAGAGCAGTATATAATTTAGAACCTCAAATTATTATTATTATTAACAGAAGTTATCCTCATCTCCATGTTTGTGTATGGTGTGTTTGTAGATAAGATCCTGGTGGACCTGACCATCCTTCAGGCAGAGAATCTCATGGCAATGGACAGGAACGGTAACAAAGGGCGTTAATTGTTGTAAACTAACCGTGTGAAACCTTAATGATTATGTAGGATCAAAATCAATGATAACGCACTGTATGTATAATGTTACATTGTCACATTACACCTGTAAAATTACCTGCAATTAACTATCATAATATACCAGTACATATCATTGTTAGGGTAGGTAGGGCGTAATAATTGTACCTGCTGCCCCCATTGCATGATCGTAAGAGGCGACTAAATTTGGGACCTTATATTTTCTCTTCTTTCTAAACAACTTTCTTCTTCCTAATGTCCTCCTTGATAATGCCTCACTTTTGGCCTTTAGTTGAGCATTCACCCCTGTGAGGAAGGCTTTGGGTTCTGTCCCCTGGCCGAGACATACAGAGTCTGTAAAAATGGTAGTTTCTACTCCTGCTTAATGCTCAGCAATTTAGGAGTGGGACGACTGGTTCGCCCGTTGTCAGTATAATGTGACAGGGATGGGGAGTCCTGCTGGGTGTCTTTGGCAGTATGTTTCAGTGAGGTAGCACTATAAAGTCGGCATCAGTTCCGCGCTATCAAACAAACACGAACATATCGCAGCCTCCCAAAACACACGCATACACTACACGCATGCATCTTGCACACAGGGGAAGCCGTCCTTAAATGACCATTGCTGTTGATAGGACATTAAACAATTCTAAACCAAACCAAATGTTAAGGCAACTTTCGGAACACTCTAGGTTTTACCTTCGATTAACATTGCTGAAGGGTAACCTTGGTATTTTTCTTTATATTTTGATAGATTTTGATTATGATGTTTTGTTTGAAATTGATAAAAGGAATTTTAATTTTATGACATGGGTTGATTCAATTCATAAAATTGTAGTCATGTGATAAAATAATGAAAAGAGAAATACACTTGTCAAAACTATAGATATTGTCAATCAAATACATTGTATCAGTATGATTTTTTCTGAAAAAGCTTTTATAATACAATGTTGTCCATTATTGATTGAACCTGCAGGTTCTAGTGACCCATACTGTGAAGTGTTGCTTGGCAACAAAAAGATATTCAGGACCACCGTCAAAAAGAAAATTTTGTTTCCCAAATGGAATGAGAGCACTACTTTTGAGGTGGAGGACGATACTCAGAATGTTGAGATTGTAAGTAAAAATGGTTGTTTGTCTAGTACTGTAACAGTTCTGTACAAGTTGGTCTTCCCCTCCAAACAGGCAAGGTCTATTACCAATAACGGTTACAGCTACCTATTGAACACTGAGGGTCCATTCTGTTCATCCATTTTATCTGTTTTTTGAAATAATGAATACTGTGTAGACAAAATTGTCACTGGAAAGTTTGATTCCCTGTTAAAGTTGCACAGCATTGACAAATTCTGCTAAAAACTATTCTAATCAGAATTTGTGTCATATCCACTTGTACACATAATAATTACTAATAAAAGAATCCATCATTTCATTATTTGATTTCATCATATGCAAAAAAAATATTCACAATTGGCAACAAATTCAGATCCAACAATTTGTAATTGATTTTATAATCAACCTAGAATATTTTATTTCCAACAAATTATTGTTGTTACAATCTTTCTCAAATTTTATCCCACTGCTAGAATGTGTATGACAAAGATGTGTTCACGAGAGACTTCCTAGGGAAAGTCATGCTGACTATGGACAAACTCAAGGAGATCTCCTACAAGGTAATGCTCCATCCCCTACATAGACATACACACCCTACAAGGTAATTCCCATCCCCTACATAGACATACACACCCTACAAGGTAATGCTCCATCCCCTACATAGACATACACACCCTACAAGGAAATGCTCCGTCCCCTACATAGACATACACACCCTACAAGGAAATGCTCCGTCCCCTACATAGACATACACACCCTACAAGGTACTGCTCCATCCCCTACATAGACATACACACCCTGCAAGGTAATACTCCATCCCCTACATAGACATACACCCCCTACAAGGTAATGCTTCATCCCCTACATAGACATACACCCCAAAAGGCAATGCTTCATCCCCTACATAGACATACACCCCAAAAGGCAATGCTTCATCCCCTACATAGACATACACACCCTACAAGGTACTGCTCCATCCCCTACATAGACATACACACCCTACAAGGTAATGCTTCATCCCCTACATAGACATACACCCTACAAGGTAATGCTTCATCCCCTACATAGACATACACACCCTACAAGGTAATACTCCATCCCCTACATAGACATACACACCGTGCAAGGTAATACTCCATGCCCTACATAGACATACACACCCTACAAGGTAATTCCCATCCCCTACATAGACATACACACCCTGCAACGTCCACCAATGCAATACTCTCCGTCTTGTACCATGTAGTACCGTAAAAACCCATGTAATTAGCACAGTTTTTTTTCCAGAAATTTAACCTTCAAAGTGGGGGGTGCGTAAAATACACAGGTATAGAAAATTTCAAGAAATATATATTTAAAAAAAAATATTCAAGGATCAATTTTCGGAGCATGAACATGGTGTTTTTTTACAGATTTTTTGGGTGCGCAAAATATTTGAGTAGAAGCTTTTTTCCCGATTTTCAGCCTCAAAAAGTGCCTGCGCAAATTACACAGGTGCGCAAATTACATGGGTTGTTACGGTACTTACAAAAACTTGTCAAAAACATATCAGGTTCCCATCGTCTGAAAATGAACTGGTTAGATGTTATAATGATGAGCTGCTATTGTTATCATTTGTGATAGTGTGAATTATCAAAATTAAATTGAAGACAATTTTAATTTTTGAATGTAAAATGTAAATAAAATTCTTGAATCCTGGAATAGAAAATTTCAGAACATCACCATGTGTTATTTTCAATGTTCTAACAGCTCCATCTAGAAAATTAATTGGGATTATTGCAGAACAGATTTCGAAAAAGCTACCCATTTTGATTTCCTTAATACTAACTACAAAAATGAATGTATTCTAATAATGTTGTTTTCATTTTCTCCAATGGAGTGTGTAGCATGTAAACAAAATATTTTTGCATTTTAGTTATACATGTATATATAAGTATATATTAAGTATATATTTTAGTAATAGTCTATTAGATATATGTGTCTGAGTTATATTGATGTTACTGATAATGATATAAGGTGGTTTTATTCCTCCAGAACATAACAAGGGGAGGGGCACCAGAACATAACAGGGGGAGGGGCACTTAGTGTTGGATTTTTCTGTCTGTCCTTACAACACATTGGTTAAGCTTTTTCATTTAATCTAATACTAGAAGTCCAATAGTCACCACACTACACAGTCATGTAAATATATAAAATATAGGCATTCTCCTGGGGTTATGCTCACTTTTGCTCTCTGTACCCAAGGAATATATCATAGCAAAATCGAAGGCAAAGTGTGCACCACCTTGTGGATGAGACGCAAAGACTAGTTTGATCCTTTGGTGTACATCAAAAGAATCTGTAGGTCACGTAACAGTAAACTTGACTGGCTGTGAAGTCAGTTGTCGCTTCTCTGTAATCTTCAAAGAACAGGTATCAGCCTAGCAGTTGGTCAGGTATCTTTTACCCGAGACCAATCAAATTGCCAGCCGCCTGCCTTCCATTTTGCTGTGACATATCCAGGATTGCAGAGAGCATAAGTGAGCATAACCCCTGGAGTATCATGGATGAATAAAGATCACTGTGACCTGTATTTGTTGCTTCACTAACCTTTTGGGAAATGTGAATTCAGTGTTAATTATAGATACACACATATGGGTCTTTTTTAATTCAGATGAATCACAGGAATTGCTTTGTCAATGTTTTAGGCTAAACCAGAATGGCTGACTTTGGGAAGAGCCAAGAATGGACGCTTACAGATAAAATGTACAGTGACTTGCAAAGAAACAATTGTAAGTAAAAAAAAGAAATGAAGTTTAAGTTTTATTCCAGTTGATTGGAATTGTGATTGTTCTGAATGCTTTTGAATTGATATATATATATATATATACCAGAAATAAGTTTTGATAAATCAAACTCAAAACAGCATTGGATACTCAGGATGGTTTAAAAAAAAAAGATAAATCAACTTGATGTAAATCTTAATATTGGAAGCAAGATAACTATGTTTTGATTTCATAATTTAATACAGTCTTTACAATTTAAAAAGGAAGCACAAAAGAAGAGTAAGAAGGGAGAAAACTCTAAGAAACTCAGTGTGCCTACCACACCCCCAATTGAGGATGAGGTGTTTGAGGAGATGGACTCGCCAACCATGGTTTGTTGGGGAAATATTTTATTTAATTAAGTTTCAAATATCAGGATTATTTAATATATTTTTGGAATTATCTATATTGCTCTGTTTTATTAGAAAACTGATATGAATAGATGATTCAATAGTTCAATTGTATTCAATATTGTATCCAATCAGAGTAAATCCAGCCCCCCAGCCAACAGGTCTGAGCCCCCTCCTAATGGCAATGCTATGGAGGCAGTTTCAGAACAGGTCGCCCCTCGGAAGGTAGAGAAGCTCCAAGCAGCCAGGCCTTCTCAGTCCTCTCAGAACTCCACCAACGCTACACTACCACGGGCGGGACGGAAGGACCAGGGGACAGTATCCCGACAAAACTCTGGCAATGGGGGACTATACAGATCTGCCTCTGACCTTAACATGGGTAAACGAAGGACATCTCAAGGTCATACACTAACACCAGGCTCGGGAATGAGACATTCAGATTCGTATGTATTTCATAGATTGTTTGTGTGATTTCAGTTTCTGTGCCTTTTGAATGGTCATTTTATAATTCAATTTCATTTTTGATACAAATACATTAAAGGGGCTGGTCGGGGAAAAATGTCATATTTGCTAAAATGGCATACACATGTTTAAAATACCTTCTTATGAAAAATATACCGATTCAAATTTTGCTGAAATTCACTCCCTAAGAGTAAAAATTATAATTATATTAAAGAAATCCTAAATCGTCACCTGACAGTCTAAAACTCTCAATTGACCCAGATCAGTGATGTAATTTTACCGCATGCGCATCATCAACAAGGCCAAATGTAAACATCGCGGCGAAAGAAAAAGATGCATGCAAAAGTCATGACAGGCACGAGGTATCAATACTGTTATATATAACAACAACATATAGGTAGGAATACTACACTTGTATCATACATGACCTTTGAAAACAATTATTTACGTAAAGTATTGTTGTCTTGTCCGCTAGCTAGTTGAGTCTGACATGGCACATGACGGCGTGCTATTGTTGTTATCTTTACTGCCTCACTTTTGAAACAACCACGTGACATATATAAATAGATCTGCGCTAAATTTACGCGGGGCTTCCCCGAGATTTCAGTGGTCAATACTGGACAAAGTTAATTGATAATTAATAATTAGATATCTTCAGTCTTCTTGTTAAAATGTATTAAAAAATGTCAGTGTTAAGAAAGCACCTAAGAGAGAGTGTTACACCGTTCTGTAGCTATATATAAATAGTCACCTGATGTACACTTAACCCATATCAATCCCGACAGAACATTGACACAAGGTGGTGCGTACATGTTTTTTAAACAAATGTCAATATGTCTTGTCTCACCTTCTGTTACAGGACAAACTCATTCACTGCCCTGCATCATGGGGATAACATATCAATGAGTAAGTACAGATTTAAAGATTTATTACAATACATTAGTACTGACTGTGTGGACTTCAGCTATTGGTTGGTTTGACATTAGAGGTCTGTTTTATACTATTCATATTTGGAATCAGATGTGTGATACAGTATTGTGTAATCCGTTTCCATTTTCAGCTGAGGTGTGTTAAAATTAGATAATGTTTAACTGTTGAAGTGTGTGTTGTGATAGGTTAACAGGTACACTTTATACAATCAGTGTATAGTAAAGGATACTATAATAACAGTATACAGCAGAAACTATACCAGTAATTACAATAAGCTGTAAAACCAAGTGTCCTTTCAGGCCTAACAGTGTAAATTTTCAACATCAACACAAAAATTAAGTCGGAATGGTACCCTGGCTGTCTATATACATTGTATACAGTACATTGTATACTTAATTTTCACTTGTGAGATATACCTAGTTAGAGGGAAACTTTGGAATAGTTATCTCCCCCTTAAAGCAGCAACGGAGGTGTAATTGTTTTCTTTGAATTTGTATAAACTGTAATAATTTTGTTGTATACCTTATGTTCCTGATACCTTGTATTTCTAGGTAAATTATTCTCCCTGATAGAAAATCCCATAGATAACACGGAGCGTATTTAACTCCTTATTACTAACGAGGCCTGGGTGTAGTGTTAAATCAGTGTTTAGTCTTCCTGATCCGTAACGAGTTGTAACGTTCGTTAGGTATCATACGGTAAACCGAGTGTTTTTATTATTATAGTTAATTGTTTTTGTGTGCTTTGTTAATCCATCTATCACACATTTGTCCTTGCTAATCTTCAGTGGAACTAGAGCACTGAAACCTCATACAAATGACTTCATGGTCAAAAGTTCAAAGGTCACTCTTGCGCTTGCTTACTCATTATAAAATCTATTCTTTTTGTAGCTGAATGTTTTACCTACAGTGTCTAACAAATTCATTCAAATGTTACGGCCTTACCTGTACTTATGTTGTTATTGACAATACATGTACATCAGTTTTAAAACCGTAGTGATTTCTTGAAGTGATGTTACATTAAATCAATGTTACTTCTTAACAAAACCCCCTTCCCCATGTTTTGTATTTATGACAAGAATTGCATTAATAAAATCCTTTATATTTAATAGATATGTACACTGTATGTTAAACATTATAGGAACCTTGTCTAATATGTACCGAGGACTATTTGTGAATTTGAGATCGTAAATATTGTTTGGATATTTAAAATGTATATCATATACTGAACACAGCCTCCACAGTTGCTGAAACAGAAGCATCCTTGATTCTTGGCAAGTACTGTACTCGCACGTCCGTGCAGGGTTATAGCCCCGTTATGTACCGATGTAGTCACTGTATCGTCCTGTCCTATTGTGGCTGTATGCTATAGTACACGTGTAATATATACTGGTGATGGTGCTGCTCAACCCAGAATTAACATTACATCTCATGTTCTGTTGTTAGTGCAAGGAATGTGACGATACAATACTTTTCACAAAACATGGGTCACGATACGATGCGTATTGTGATGCTTATCGCAACTCCCTGTATAAACTGTTACCTTTGTTTTCCTTGATTAGAAACAAACGTTGATATCAAACAAATCTTAATTGGTTATATTCCATGCTGAATGAGTTTTTTTTTTTTAATTGGTCTATCTCCTGAATTGTATGGCATTTCTGTTTTTTAATTGATCGATCTCCTGAATTGTATGACATTTCTGTTTTTTAATTGATCGATCTCCTGAATTGTATGGCATTTCTGTTTTTTAATTGATCGATCTCCTGAATTGTATGGCATTTCTGTTTTTTAATTGATCGATCTCCTGAATTGTATGACATTTCTGTTTTTTAATTGATCGATCTCCTGAATTGTATGGCATTTCTGTTTTTTAATTGATCGATCTCCTGAATTGTATGACATTTCTGTTTTTTAATTGATCGATCTCCTGAATTGTATGGCATTTCTGTTTTTTAATTGATCGATCTCCTGAATTGTATGACATTTCTGTTTTTTAATTGATCGATCTCCTGAATTGTATGGCATTTCTGTTTTTTAATTGATCGATCTCCTGAATTGTATGACATTTCTGTTTTTTAATTGATCGATCTCCTGAATTGTATGGCATTTCTGTTTTTTAATTGATCGATCTCCTGAATTGTATGACATTTCTGTTTTTTAATTGATCGATCTCCTGAATTGTATGGCATTTCTGTTTTTTAATTGATCGATCTCCTGAATTGTATGACATTTCTGTTTTTTAATTGATCGATCTCCTGAATTGTATGGCATTTCTGTTTTTTAATTGATCGATCTCCTGAATTGTATGACATTTCTGTTTTTTAATTGATCGATCTCCTGAATTGTATGGCATTTCTGTTTTTTAATTGATCGATCTCCTGAATTGTATGGCCTTTCTGTTTTTTAATTGATCGATCTCCTGAATTGTATGGCATTTCTGATTTTTAATTGATCGATCTCCTGAATTGTATGACATTTCTGTTTTTTAATTGATTGATCTCCTGAATTGTATGGCATTTCTGTTTTTTAAATAATATTTCTTCTTGGTGATGGAACAAGAAGAAATACATGCTGAACTTTATTTTGTGTATAGGTTAAATGAGCACTCTAAAAACGGTGACCCCTACATCACTTTTTTTAAAGTATCACGATACTATCGGTGAATGCCCGGTGATGATGTATCGACACTCAATTATCGGTGAATCGTTACACCTCTACATGTTATATATATTTAAACCAAAGTACATTGTTACAATTAAACTTCTCATTGCATGTCAATATTAATACCAGTATATTTACTTATTTGTAATATCTATACTCATCATGCCTTTTCTTTGTACTCCTCGGCAGCTGGGAGTAATCTAGATAGGTTCATGTGTTTCATAGGAAGGTTTAATTCTTCAATATTACTAGCATCCACTGTGTGTGTGGAAAGAATGTTCAAGTTTAACATAAAGACTAAAAAGATTTCAACATGATATTGGTGTTTCGGTCAGAAAGTCTGCAGTTGTCAAAATCATATACAGTGTTGTTTAGGAGCAAGTGTTACAATTCTGCCGAGTGTACATTTTCAGTCACTGTTTCAGCAGGCAATATCTCATAATACATAAATATCTATTTTTTCTTTATTTCTTTTTTTTCCCCCCATGTCCATATGTTTCTCATCTTATATTCAAGTTGATATTGTCTACATTATGAGATGTCCTGCTGGTAAGATAATGTAAATATGAATGTTAGTTTCAATGTTTTATCCACTTTTAACGTGCTTTTGACATGGTTATCCCAAAAGTAAAAAGTGGGTTACTTGATCATCCTCAAAAACTATCAATATGTAAATGTTCAATGGACCAGTGAAGTTTGTTCCTGTATAATAGTCAACTTGTAGTGAACTAACAATAAAACATGGTTTTGTGCAGTGATAAGTTATTTAGTGTGATTTATGATTTTTGTGTCACAACACCTATGGCTAAAAATTGTAAACACACGTTATGGTGTAGTTTAAACTGTATTGCTATATATCGTCTTTGCGTATTGCAGAGTTATCTTCTCTTGGGAGCAGGTATTGATTGTTACGTCATTGGTTTGTGTGAGAAAATTACGTCGTTTTCTCAAAAATTGATGACGTTACTCTCACAAACAAGTGACGTAACAATCAATACCTGCTCTCAAGAGAAGATAACTCTGCAATACGCAAAGACGGAATATCACACTGAAGAAGATGAAAAATATCTCAAAAGGGAGTGGTGTGCATCATCATACCTAGAAGGATTTTACTGGAAAGGTGGCTGAAATACGAACACCTGATAATGTGTTCTGTTGTCCTTTGTTTTTCATTTGATGAGTGATGTATGGAGTAAGTATACAGAATCAAAGAATATTTCCCCAAACCACATGAAACACTTTATAGAAGGAAGGGACTACTTTTCTTACACCACAGTATCAAACCACATGAAACACTATGTAGAAGGAAGGGACTTCTTTTCTTACACCACACCATCAAACCACATGCAACACTATGTAGAAGGAAGGGACTACTTTTCTTACACCACAGTATCAATTACTTTATATGTTCATGTGAAAATGTTTTACATTATTTGACTTTTTGTTTAACTGCATGGTCTGTGAATGTGTCTAACATAACTGTAAACATAATTACTTAATAGGTAAGAGCTGCAAAATCGAAAACCATCACAAAAAGGAGAAATGTACGTCAGGTAAACAAAACTCTTAAAAGCTCGGAAATCAATGTAGTTATATGTCATGTGGTCATGGCAATGTATATTGCTAGAGTTCACGTAAAGCATGAACTTCATTATCTTCTGTTGTTGCACAAACCTTGATGGGTACAGGTTCTTACAAGGTATATCTACAGGATTGTGTCACGTGACCTGTACATCTGGTATATATAAACTTATTGTGGTTTGATCTCTATTATTTGTAGGTGCATGTAAATTTTATTTTTTAGATCACCTGGTACAAAGTGCCTGTAAACTTTATTGTGCAATGGTGCATTGTCCATCTGTCACCAAATCATGTGCCCAAAAACTTTAATTACTTCATCTACAGAACTATGATATCAAAAGTCTCTAAAGCATTATCATATAGACTCATTTTCTAGGTCACATAAATAAAATGTGTTAAAAATTCCCAAGTAGTTACTTACGAATTACGAGGCCTCGGCCCTGTAGCTTGGGGTATACAAGCATGCTTCTGTCAGATTTGTTCAAAATAGATCAACAATCGATTCAAAGACCCACCACAAGGTCAAATGTGTTCAAACTAAAAAATGAAACCAAGCGAGCTATAAAGGCCCATCGGCCCTTTATGGGATTTTGTGTACACATTTCTAAACCTAATGGGTTATATTGTTAAATCATTAGTTTTTGCTATAAAAATTATTGCATGCGAAATTCAGATATGAAATAGATTCTAAATGTTAGCAGTTAGATTAATCAGTGTAAATGTAGCTTTCTGCATTGTTTGACATTGTAACGTTGTGTTACTTCACGTACAGATGTATTACTAGAGAAGGGATCCAATACAGTGACACATTGTTACACGTCCAGAAGACTTTGGGTATTATCGAGGTGTTTTTCAGTAAATCATCAATGGCAACACATAAAGGAAAACACAGTTTTTAAACAAAGAAATGAATACAGTGATGATATGCAAGGTGGTGAATCAAATGTACCCGTAGGGTGATTTATTGTAGTTTTACTGCACTTTCCTTTTGTCATGGAAACTAAGTAATGTGATGCATTTTTCAGAGTTCTTTTCATGGAATGTTGATGAAAAATTATTGTTATAAGACAGAATTGTAGAAAATTCAAAGTTTTGGTGAAAACTCCAATCACTAAATTCGATTTTGCAGGATTTCACAAGCATTAAACTGCAGAAGGATTTAGGTAACACCTATTGGCATGGACAGGTTTGTTACTGGGAATGAATCGCTGTTTCACTTTTTGGAGAATGGTATTTGAAGTCATTCCTTGCCTACCAGTTAAATATTAAGGGGAGGGTGTTTTATATAGGCTGTAGTAAGTAAACATACTGTAGCAGTTTTATATTTACGTAAATGTTCATGATCTCAAAATACATCAGCAGCAGGTTCCACATGTATAAATTCAGCTCAGAGATTATGTGGATGGAAAATATGATCATGGCTGTATTTTCTTCTCATAAACACAAAGAAAATCAACAATGCAAAAAATAAATATTATAAATATTTATAGCGCAATGTTATAACTGCCAGTACTACAAAATAGTGTATATTATGGGGGGGGGGGAAAACAAAAACAGTACTGCATGCACCGTGTATCTACAAGTTCTATTTACAGTGATATGTTTAACCACACTGATAGAATAGTAAAACATTTGTTTGTTGTAAACCAGATTACTTTTGTGGAAACTCGACAGGCAATGTACAAGTATAAAACATACACCTGGTATATACAAGTTTATAATCTGTAGAATTCAGTGGCATTGTTTGTGGTATCGCATGACGTCTGCTGACAATGGTTACAGTTAAATGATTCAGATATAGTAACAAATCTATGTACTTCATCATCTTGTGCATGTCACTGCCATGTGTTTTATGATATGAAGTACATGTTTATAGTAGAAATACACTACACTGAGCAACTTATTTTAGTACATCATACAAAGTTCCATATTTCATATTTCATTTTGTATTATTTTGGTAGGTGGAACTTGCATTTACGCTTGAACTCCTTGGTCATTATATATCCATTGAAATAAGAACGAATTCTGAATGTTTTGGTGCCATTTGGCATTACACAGTTAAATGATATATTTACATTTAGATTTTTGGGAAGCAACTTGAACAGCAATACAATCCGGTATACTAGAACTCTTGACCTACTTTTAATAGCAATAAATTAATATACATGTATACAAAAAACAATTGTAAGTATGTATAATAGTGACAATACCACGTATTTGTGCTATGTGGACTTGTGCAGTGCTATCTGTACTTACAGATTTAATTAGCCACATATACAGTTCTATATATTGCTTTCTAAAAGTCACTTTCATTTTCACTCTAGATATTTAAAATTTGATATCCATTTATTAGATATTTAAAATTTGATATCCATTTATTAGATATTTAAAATTTGATATCCATTTATTACCATGTAACAATCAATGGAAATGCAGGGAGCATTTTCATCAAGATAAAGAAGAAAACCATTTTGAAGTTCATATTTGGAAAAGTGAAAATTATAATATTGAATCTTTGAGATCCAAGATATTAAATATATGTTTTTGTGCTTCATGAAATAAAAATATATTTACACTTGTTGGCAAAAATGAAATGATAAAAGTTTTTAACATAAATAATTTCATTGTTATGACTATACTTTGGGAATATCTTGTTTGTTGTTTTCTTCCTCAGAATTTTCCTCGTTTAATTTTTTGTTGGTGAATATTTGAATAAGCTTTATTTTTTACCCCGCAGTTTGCAAATGGGAATGTGCAACTTCACTTTTTTGTTTTCATGGAAGGTTGATAATAAAGAACCTCTAATTATGGATCAGGATGTGTAAGATTGCTTATGTAAGGTTGACTAAGAAATTTCATAATGTATGTTAATATACTGTATTGAAAGTGTTACACCTTCTACTTTCTTGAGGCACTGTATAAAGTGTAATTGAGGAATTTTGTATTTTCTTAAACTTAAATGTATTGGTCATTACATAAATAGCAACATTATTTCAGTTATAAGATATGGTTTTAATCAGATTGGATTTATTATACAATAATCAGTATCTATAAGCCCTCCTTCATAAGGACACTATGTTGTTGGGAGTCTGAACCTAGGGCTCCGCAAACCGAGGCAGTTCATAGAAATGCATGAACAAATACTTTTGAAAAATTACTTTGGAGAAAATGTACCATCCTATTATCAGTATTTAAACCTGTTTTTATACCAGGGTTTTTTACGGTTGTGTTACATGTACACGATGAGCACATGTTTTTACAACATGTTTTCACCTGTGTGTTACAGACAGCAGTGTAGCTGGGGTGGAGAGAATCTACACTGTGTCAGGACGTATCCTCAGAGTGAGAGGGCTGTCACTCCCTGACACTGCCAGTATTTACTGTAAAGTGCGTATTTTCAAGTAAGTATTTTTAGGCTATAGAGTCGAAGTGACTGGGGTGTATTGGTACATGTATACCGTCATGCTTTAAAGAACCCTAATCTGTAGATGTGTAATACTTTTAGGTAATACTTTAAGTACTTTAGGTAATACTTTTAGTACTTTTAGGTAATACTTTTAGGTAATATTTTTTTTAGGTAATACTTTTAGGTAAAACTATAGATGTGTAATACCTTTAGGTAATACTTTTAGGTAAAACTATAGATGTGTAATACCTTTAGGTAATACTTTTAGGTAATACTTTTAGGTAAAACTTTAGATGTGTAGTACCTTTAGGTAATACTTTTAGTACTTTTAGGCTATAGAAGCGACAGTGCTCGGCTACAGATCTAGAGTAGAGTTTGCAGCCCCCTACTCCACCAGTATGTGTTACTCTAACATCAAATAGTGGGTTCCCATTGTCTAGAGTGATTTGAGGGTCGGCGGAGTGTCTTATGATTGCATATTACTTTTCCAGTCCTAGTCAGCGCCTTAGACTGCTGTCCGGTAACAGAGTCATTGCCAAGTCTGCCATGGTCAAGGTCACAGATCCCCTTCTCAATACAACATTTGAGGTATACTTGATGTCATGTTTAAATGCCTTCATGAATTATTCATGTAATCATTATAATGGACACAAAATAATAATGCAGATATTACTAAACTTGTCAAATATCAAAAATTAAAAAAAATCATCTTAAAGGTTGGGGAAGTTTTAAAATGGATTTAAAAAAAAATAATCTTCATGCTGCTGAGATATTGTGTATTGCTACATACTTTATACAAGCTGTATTTGTGGCAGATTGACCGCGGGGCAGGTGTGAATGTGGACACTGTTCTCACTTTGGACATCAAACTGGATCACAAGGAACATGTGGCTCAGCAATCCTTTACACTGGAGCACCTTTTCAGAGGTAACATTGTTTAGTTTTTGAAAGCCTTTTCTCTGTCATGTTGACCCAGATATAGATCAGGTATGGTTCACACCATGTCAGCTAGGGACTTTTATTTACAGGTCAGCTAGGGACTTTTATTTACGGGTCAGCTAGGGACTTTTGTTTACGGGTCAGCTAGGGACTTTTATTTACAGGTCAGCTAGGGACTTTTGTTTACGGATCAGCTAGGGACTTTTATTTATGGGTCAGCTAGGGACTTTTATTTACAGGTCAGCTAGGGACTTTTATTTGCAGGTCAGCTAGGGACTTTTATTTACGGGTCAGCTAGGGACTTTTATTTACAGGTCAGCTAGGGTCTTTTGTTTACGGGTCAGCTAGGGACTTTTATTTACAGGTCAGCTAGGGACTTTTATTTACAGGTCAGCTAGGGACTTTTATTTACGGGTCAGCTAGGGACTTTTATTTACAGGTCAGCTAGGGACTTTTATTTACAGGTCAGCTAGGGACTTTTATTTACGGGTCAGCTAGGGACTTTTATTTACAGGTCAGCTAGGGACTTTTATTTACAGGTCAGCTAGGGACTTTTATTTACGGGTCAGCTAGGGACTTTTATTTACAGGTCAGCTAGGGACTTTTATTTACAGGTCAGCTAGGGACTTTTATTTACGGGTCAGCTAGGGACTTTTATTTACAGGTCAGCTAGGGACTTTTATTTACGGGTCAGCTAGGGACTTTTATTTACAGGTCAGCTAGGGACTTTTATTTACAGGTCAGCTAGGGACTTTTATTTACGGGTCAGCTAGGGACTTTTATTTACAGGTCAGCTAGGGACTTTTATTTACAGGTCAGCTAGGGACTTTTATTTACGGGTCAGCTTGGAACTTTTATTTACAGGTCAGCTAGGGACTTATTTACGGGTCAGCTAGGGACTTTTATTTACGGATCAGCTAGGGACTTTTATTTACAGGTCAGCTAGGGACTTTTGTTTACGGATCAGCTAGGGACTTTTATTTATGGGTCAGCTAGGGACTTTTATTTACAGGAGAGCTAGGGACTTTTATTTACGGGTCAGCTAGGGACTTTTATTTACGGGTCAGCTAGGGACTTTTATTTACAGGTCAGCTAGGGACTTTTATTTACGGGTCAGCTAGGGACTTTTATTTACAGGTCAGCTAGGGACTTTTATTTACGGGTCAGCTAGGGTCTTTTATTTACAGGTCAGCTAGGGACCTTTATTTACAGGTCAGCTAGGGACTTTTATTTACGGGTCAGCTAGGAACTTTTATTCAAGGTCAGCTAGGGACTTTATTTAAGGGTCAGCTAGGGACTTTTATTTACAGGCCAGCTAGGGACTTTTATTTACGGGTCAGCTAGGGTCTTTTATTTACAGGTCAGCTAGGGACTTTTGTTTACGGATCAGCTAGGGACTTTTATTTTACGGGTCAGCTAGGGACTTTTATTTACGGGTCAGCTAGGAACTTTTATTTACAGGTCAGCTAGGGACTTTATTTACGGGTCAGCTAGGGACTTTTATTTACGGATCAGCTAGGGACTTTTATTTTACGGGTCAGCTAGGGACTTTTATTTACAGGAGAGCTAGGGACTTTTGTTTGCAGGTCACTAAGATATTTGTATGATACATCCCACCATGATGCTGATATTACATTAAGCTTGGTATCAACAAGTTATCAGTATGAAAGCAATTATTTTTGAAATTGGTACAGACACTTTAAGAAAGTAATTTTATCTTGGCTACATTTTCACCATTATGTTTGATGAAATGAAAATTGTTTAAGTGTAACTGAGTTTTGTTGTTTCAGATTATGAGGAGGGAGGGGTACAGAAATGGCTGCCTCTATCCAAAGGAGTGTCGGTGGAAGTATTCCTGACAAAGGGCAAACCTAACCCTCATCTAGTCAACAGGAAGGCTGCTCGCTTCAACAAATCATGGTCATTTAGGAAAGAAAAAATTCATTAGTTCTCCGTGAATTTATTTGAAGATTTGATTTTAAAAGCTGGCCTTTGAAAGGGATACATGTATCAACAATGCTTCTCTAATGGTTTTTGTTGGATTTAGTAAGAGATTATGTATGAGGAGAAAATGTACACAGCTACTTCTGTTATTGTAATTCAACAACATGATGTGTGAAAAGGAAGTGTTTAGGACTGATCTGTCAAGACTGCTGGAGAACAATGCTGAAAGATTATATAACCATTGTACAAGAAGGTGCTGGTGAAAGAAGATATATCCATTATACAATTTATACTCTAGGTCTGAATATTTAATATATAAGATGTTACTGTGTGTGTGGCACTTTATATTTGTAATACATTTGAATATGTATAGTCTCTTTGAACTTTATGTGGCTTTTTATACTTCAACACTATGACATTGTTATTACCGGCGATGGTATGTATATTTTATATTGCTCAATATACTTGGCATTGTTTTTTTTATTTGTACATGAACTGATGATTAAAATTGTATTGAAAATTTAAACATGATCAGGATTTTCTGACAATGATAATTTCTCACATGTAAGAGATTCTGTAAAATATCTGGCAACATTTTCTGTATTGTGTTTTATGTTTGAACCGTTTTATTGTGCTCCTGTCAAAAACAGGTATGTACTCAGTACAACATTATTGTTTTAATTTGCGATGATTTTTGTCTGACAATTCTTACCTTGCCTGTACACATTACCTTATGTTGTATGTTATTCTAGCTATTCTGCTTTTACTTTGTTTTTAGTTCTATAAATTATGATAATTTTATAGTAAGCTATAATCATAGAAAAGCTTGGTAAATATTTTTAATTCTGTGCTTTTTGTTAAATTTGTTATTCCTTCAGATTTCCATTTTATTTATTTGTTTATTTTACATCCTATTTATGTATAACATTCCAGGTACTCTAAGAGTATTATCCTTCTTTTTAGTTTAGCACAGCTGGTCTGAAAGGCCTAGATATATGATGAAGTGGCACAGCGTCCGTTGTCTGTCATTCATGGACTTTCCATTATAATGCTTGCTAGTCCAGAATGGCTGCAAGGATTGTGAATAAAGACTTGGATTGAACATTTCCTTGACCAAGGGAATCAAATGTTGTTTAACCTTTTAACCCCTATGTAACTTTAATTGTCTCTCCCATGCATTGATCTTGATGAGTCCAGGAGGCACGGTAGTCCCGTGGTAGGACGCCGGGCTCGTGACAGAAGGATTGCGGGTTTGCGCCACGGCATGGCAATGTGTTGTATCTTTGAGCAAGATACTTAACTCCGCTTGTTCCAGTCTGCTCAGCTGTAAATGAGTATGTGGTTGGGCAGTGCTAGAATTGTTGAATGCTAGCTGTTACCGCTGAAATGGCAGCTTCGGCTGTATGCTCCCCAGGGAGTTGAGAAATGTATTGGCTGGTTGCAAAGGCCCTATAACCACGGATAATAATTTGTGAACCACTTCGACACGACCTACGAACTAGGTTGTGATAAAGCGGTATATAAGAACCTCCAATTGCTATGATTATTATTATTATTATTATGGTCTACAATGGTTAAAAGTTTAACTGAATAGTGTGCACCCCTCATCTGGGAGAAGGGTGGGGTCCAATTAGGGAAATAAAGGGTTAATCGTTAACAGACTACAGGTATATAACTCTTTTAAGTGTGATTGAAAGAATTTTGACCAAATTGGCATGGAGCCTATCTAGATGAAGAGAAGTCAATGTTGTATATGAAAGATAAGGTCGGGGGACCAGAAGGGGGAATAGGGTGAGGCTTTAAACAACAACTCGAAGCACCTTTTGCATATCTGGTTCAACCGTTTCAACCAGCTGAATCTGAAAAGGTAACGACAGGCTTAGATCTGAACCGAGGCTGACCTCTGGAAAATTTGACATATTGAGGGAGCTAGACATGCCTGACCTAAACTAAAATGCTTACTCTCTGGTTTGCATTATTTTTGCATAAAACAGGGTCAATTCACATTTATATAAGGTCAGCACAGTTTCGGTCCAAGTGCGTTCATTTGTCACAGAATGCACCACCTAACTGTTTCAACGGCTACCTAAGTAAAAGTGAAATGAATTTGGAGAGTAGGGCATCTTTGGTTCAATGGTATTCATGACTGTATAAATGAACGATGTCCCCCCAACCCCTGGGGAATAGAGGTTGTCTTTATGGATGAAGGGATTTGGACCTAATGTGGCATGGATCATCCCGGAATTAGAGGGGTTGCACTTCATAGAGGAAAATAGACAAAAACATTTTGATTTCTTTTCTAGGTCTTATAAGCAAACAAATTCACAAAAATTTGTGCAAGAGATAATCATGACCAGTTGTTATTTTTCCGGCTGATTTAAATTCCAAGCTGTCCATCTTTGCCTCCTATTGGCCGAGAAATTTTCCACTTCATGTACTTTCTTCATGTAAATTTTATCAAACCATCATACAAATGTTCCTGTCTTACCAAATATGATTTAATTCTTTGATTCAATAAGAAATATGTAGAGTACACCATGTTTTCAATTAAACTTGGACACATTATGATTTTTTGTTAGTTTAGAGATGAAAAACGGATGAGCAATACAGGCCTGATATTCCTTTTGTTTTGTTTGAAGCTAATTTTCTTTTGTTCTATTTTCTGTTGTGTTATTGTATTCCCTTTTTTTATGATACTAGACCAATATTTTTGTTATTAACCCTGCATTGTGATCATGTTATGTAATTTTGTTATATATGTTATAGAATTATTATACTCAACTTTTGACATAAACGTATTGTGAATGGCCTGGACAGTCGTCAAAACCAAGAATTAAGAAGAATTGACCTTAGAGTGCTATATTAAAATAACATACGGTAACCAATCAGTGCTGAATTAATTAGGAAAATTTAATTTTCACTGCAGTTCAAATTTAGATATAACTTCATAAGTCACAATTTTAGTAAAAATATTGCAAAAATAATACTTGTGTTAATATTAAAACATATTAATACCAATTGAAATTGGTTATTTTATATGTTTGATTAAATTTTAATCAACACGATTAGCTGTTGACCATATAAAATACCATTTTATAGAATGTGTAACTATAGTTGTGACTAGCAGTGGCCACAGACATACAGCGCAACTATAGTTGTGACTAGCAGTGGAGGACACAGACATACAGCAAAACTATAGATGGGACTAGCAGTGGTGGCCACAGACATACAGCACAACTATAGTTGTGACTAGCACTCAAAGGGTTAGGAGAGTGTTGATCCATTGTTTTGACTGCAGCCATTTATAATAACCATAACCGCTACATTTATTTGAAATCAGAATCAGATTTTGAAGAAAACATAATTCTTTCTTCTGGTTTTGTTTGTTAAATGACCATTTGAGAAATTTGACAATTAGATACTTTGTATATATATATTTTATCCATCGACTTTGTAAGAGTGGTGGAAAACAATGTGGAGAATGTGTGTTTTCTTCGGTACCATCATCTAGACTGTTCAGTATTTCCACTTGAATGTCATTTCTCACATTTTTTAATCTTCTTTTACTTACATCGTAATCTCAGGTATCTACGGTAAAAGAGGATATTCAATATGGACCATAAAAGTTTAATTTGATAGTGAACTTTTCCTGATTTTCTTTCTCATTCATTGCTACACTTTATTATATTTTTGGGAAGTTGGCATGATGCGAAGATGGTATGGGGATTTTACATGTCCAAAAAAATTAGTTGACAATGTTATGCTCCAGATTTTAAACATCAATTATAGCTTAAACATTTCATGTATATTTTTTATTTCAATGTAATTGACAAGCTGGCTTCTTGTGAAGATTTCATCATGAATCAATTTCATCTACCTGGTACAAGTTATTTGGTTGGAGTAATGCACAAAAATTGTTTCCTTAATTCCTATATAAAGAGATGTGTACACCTGGGACTGAAAAAGCTTTGACCCGGAGACATAATTACATGTGTTTACAAACTGTGTATCACTTTACACCTGCAATTCTGTGTTACTGATGAAGATCAGCAAGCTTACTTTTTATATTTTGCTCCCATACATTGTTAAATATCAAAATTTAAGGTTGGTAGTCGCTCTGCACTTTCAGTGTATCTGACAAGTCAGATCAAGGTTCTTTAATGATGATTTCCACTGATTTTCTGCAGTAATTCATTAGTAGATATATTAAATGTGTTCTGCCTCTTTTGGCATTTTCATTGAAGTCTGTAATTTTATGTAAACATTATCAGCTATTTCATCAGATATTCAACAATTTTATATTTCATATTTACGAGAGAACAGTGAAGCTAACATTACAGTCAATGAATTCACCTAAAATTCTTTTTTATTGTTGGTTTTAACTGAAAAACAGCAAAGAGTTGTTATCTGCATGTGAATTGTGTAATATATATACACATAAGTGCAGCAAACAGTTTATCTACCTATATGCTGTACTGAAGCAACCATATTTGGCATACTCTTCCAATGTCATTTATTCATTTCAATTTCCTTAGAACTGGAAAATTAAAATAGTATTTACATTTGGAAAACACTACAATAGCGATACCCTGTGGTTGACCTATAAATAGCAACAGTGACCTTGAAACCATTTGAGCTAGGTATTCTCACACTTGACCTTGATGAAAATCTGTCTAGAAATGAACTTGGTAGAGTCATATGACAATGAATTGTGACAGGACGGACATAGATAACACTATATGCCCCTTCCCCTTTAAAAGGCATGAGAATAAAAAATCAACAGGAAGTATCTTTATGTACAGTTGTCCTCAATTCCAAGGTACAATGGTGCTGGTGCATAGGTCTTTTTATTTTTTCTTGTTCTGGAATGTCACTTGTGAAGCATTTTTTTTTGGCTAGATTGTTGACACCTCAGCCACTGAGACCAACTACATGTAGGTCAAGGTCATAGTATCGAGGTCAATGGCATGACTACATAATCTGGAAAATTGGCTTGATTGTACATTCCAGACTGAACTTCTGTCACTAGCACATATGGTTTAGTAGATAATTAGATGTTCACCATAGACTAACGATTTGACTTCCTGAATGTTTGTGGTACATACTTGTGTTTCTTTTTCCAGGTGTATTTGAATAAATAGTTTGTACCAGGTATTACTGAACTGTATCACATGTAATGAGCTAGACGGCCTTATGTAGTTTGATGCTTTAAATGATATTGTTTTATTATTTTCATTCTAATGTACGATATCTGTCAGTATTATTTGAATTAAGCAATTATGTTTGGATGGTTGTCAATGTAATTGTCATATAAATTAAGGATCACATTTATAAAGACACCTTATTGATTTCTCAAATTATCATCTTCACTTCAGTTCATAGAAAAAATGTGTAGCATTCAGAATTCATGACTGGTATTTCTTTTTCAAATCTTTAAAGTAACACAGCTAAGAAAAGGTGTTCAATTGAATCTGTTTTACAGTTATGTTATTTACAAGTGAGTAGACCGAAAATTTTGGTAAAAAATAAAATGAAAAATGATAGTATACCTTTCATATTACTTTGTACATTACTGACTTCTACTGTTTTTCTTTGTATTGATTGTTTCATCACATCACTGTATATAATGGTGGTAGCATTTCGGATTTCCTCGTATCATTTCTACAGGATTGTGATTTTGAATCTCAAATCAAATCAAGATTATAGAATAATCACTTGTTTTACACTAGAAGGTCTCCTAAAAATTATCAGTCATAGATAAATCAAGTTTTAATAAGGATATGATATTAATCTAATGAGGTGCATAGAAATATATAAACGAGCAGACAGAGTTGCTAGTGCTTTCACCCATTTATGGGTACATCATACATATATAAATACGATGTAAGAATACCTATGAAATCTTTAATATTGGAAAACATTTTTGCTGCCAATGTGAAATACATATCAGATTTTCAAATTGATGATGGCAACATGTATTTCAGTTTTCGTATACAGAAACTGCAGGTTGCATTATACGATTGTATATTGGTGTATATATTGCAACTGTAAATTCTTAGGTCACCTGAGACGAAGTCTCGAGTGACCTATTCTACCTATTCTAATTGCCTTTTGTCTGTCGTCCTCCGCATGCCGTCCATTAACAATTCACATTTTCGACTTCTCAAAAACCGCTGATCTGATTTCAATAAAATTTTACAGGAACCTTCCTTGGTCAAATATGCACCAATGTTGTGAATTATATGGTTCCCACCCCCAGGGGCTCTGAGGGGCGGAGCTAAAAGTGGTCAAATTGGCTTAAATTTAAAAAATCTTCTTCTTCAGACCCAGATGTGCTGG